AAGCCCTAGCCTGGCCATAGCCATCCGTACACTCCGCTCAATCATCATTTCACTGCATGTAACGTCTGGGTCTGGTCCCTGTGTTAGCGAATACAATCGGTCGTATTTCATATTTTGAAGGCGGGTGTTGTAGGTCGGTGCCGGTGACGGTGAGTTTGCGCCGAACGGGCAGGTCGTAGTTTGGCAATGGCGAAGAATGCGGTAGTAAAGTAATCCGGTCTGGTTCTATCAAGAAATTGAAGCAGGAGCAAGAGGAATGTATAGCAAATGTAATCGCTGGTCAAGATTGTGGCGCTACTCCCCACGGGCTTCGTTAGCGGCAAAGGAGATGGCTAGGCTAAATGCTAACAACTCACTCGGGCGCATTACATACGTCACGGTAAACTTAGATCCAATTGTTTCAATCTGTAAAAGGAGTTAACCCCTCCCACCTGTTCACGGAGTTCAATCGAGCAAATCCAGACCTTAGTATGAAATGAAATTTGTACTATGGTGTGGTACAACCAGGCTAACAAAGCCCAGATCAGCCCAAATTTAGTCAAAACAGTTTTACAATCCATGTTGTCGGCCGTCGGGACAATTCTGGCTAACTAAAATGGCCCACTTACTAAAACGTTTGAACAACCCCTGCAATAGGCTGTGGTTTATTTCGCTAAAGTACAATAACAACTGCTATATATAAATGTGTATAGAACAATAAAAACATCTGTAAATACAGTACATGATGCTGCTGACTACAGTGTAGACTTTCACTATAGTGGCTTATCCTTGAACCAAGTGCAATTATAGTTTCACAGTTTTATTAAAACATTTTATAATTTTGTTTTATTATTTTGAATAATAAATGCAGTTTCACACATACAAAACAATACCAAAAAAAGAAAAATAATCTAAACAGAAAAAATGATCAAAACAGGAAAATAAAGATCAAATCAGAAAAAAGATTTGAAACAGAAAAACTAAAATTGCAACAACAAAAAAAGGATTTGAAACAGAAAAGAAAAAATTGAAACAGAAAAAATCATTAAATCTTGTCTCTTTTACTACGCCTTTTTAACGACACACACATCTTAAAAGTTGCGGAAATCTCTTTACACTCGTTGCCATGGACACGGCTGTCACGCAGACCTGTCCAGATAAAATTAGGAGTTTTACAATTCCCTCCCACCTCCTACACAATCCTGACATTACTGAAACAGGAGTACGGCATTCACTCACACACGTCTCTGTCCAGGTGCAGAGAGAAGCAGCTGCCCTCGCCCCGACCCCAAGCACACAAAACAAGAACGCTTAATGGAAGAATGTACCAAAGTGCTATCAGCGGCCTCAAAATAAAACCTTCCAATGCCCAAAAAGGTCTCTCTCCCAGCAAATGTTACGTAAGGCCAATTCTCCAGCACATTTATCATTGTTTTATAACCCGTAATAAAATCGGGGAAAGGGTAACAGCGTGTACGTGAATGTTTTGGGACACCTAATTGTGTTTTGTGGAGCCGGTGCTTTGTCAGTGATAACAATCCTTTAGAGCAGAGCTGCGTTTGGCCTCAGAGACCGTTTCTAGAGGCCTCTGAAATTATATTTAATTATCAGTATTAACTTACAAGTATGAATGGCTCGGTTTGTCCAATAAATAATCAGCCCCTCAGCCTACAATAATGGGCCAGTGTGGGGTCAGTCCAAACATAACTGAACTCCTTTTGTTCAGAGACATCGACCACAAAGGAATGTCTAAACTCATGGTAGATAAAAGTCGAAATACCTCCTTCATGTAAAATATTGTATGAAATCTATGCATCTTGGTTGAGTACACAAGGCCTGATGAGAGTAATAATCATGCATAGCTTTTATAATGCATAGCTTTCATTAATTCACGGTGGTGGCAAGCTACTCCTGTAGCCACAGCTGCCCTGGGTCACACTGACAGAACTGAGGCAATATATGTATTTTGTATGATGCCCGCATGTGTGTATGTAATGTTGTTGTCTTATCTTATTTATCACTAACATAACAAAAATTATCGGTTTAGACAATTTTTTCAGGGAAAGTGCTTAACAAAACATTATATATAACAAATTTAACAAAATAATCACTGTAAATTAAAAATAATGAAGATACCATCCTAATTAAAGATACCATCCTAATAATGAAGATACCATCTCTCTGAAAAAGTCTCTCTCTCACTTTTTCAGAGACTTTTCCAGATTCTAGCAGCATAAATCTGAAACACTGTCTCCCTGTGTTTAGTCCTGACTCTGGGGACCAGCAGGAGACCAGTCCCTGTGCTCCTCAGACTCAGAGCTGGTTCAAACATGTCACTGATGTTCTTAAGTGGGAGGCCATGGAGGACGCATTTTGATAAAGTACCGTATACCTCAGATGGATCTATTGATAGTCCAGAGTTTTAACCCAAACAGTGTGTCAGTCAAAGTTGGCAGGTAAAATTGTAAAATATGTCCTCAACCTAAGAATGTCTACCCCAAAATATGTGTCTCCACCACAAGCTCCATCTACAAATACATTTTAATGAATTCAGGTCAACATTCTGTAACCTGCTTTTAGATCCTAATCCTCATGATTTCTCCTCCATTAGGTCTGATTGAGAACACCTTTTTCATACAGAAATGAAATGTACAAATGTCTTTATGTACGCAAACGTTCATATATAGCGAATGATTAATTTTGTCCAAAAAGTTCAGCCCTTATTCCCTACCGTCTGGATGAAAAAAAAACAATTCACCGATCTACTGAAAAATACACCCCCAGCTTTAATGTTTTATTGCTCCATCCTTGAGCCAACAATAACAATATCTTATCTTCTCACCGACTCATCACTGTGCGTGTTTTCCTCTCCGTCATGTTTTTGGCATCTATTCACCGAGCCGAGTCTTTCCACAAGCGTCAAATGTTTCAGATTCTCCACACGGACGCTATAATTAGAACCGATCGAACAACTACATCATGCGCAACGGCAGACTTTTTCCCTTTTAGAGCAAAGTTGGCCCCAAAATGTAAAAATAGCTCGGGGCTGGTTTGAAAGCCTTATATATTTTTCCATAGCCCCCTCTTGTTCTGAAGTGATGCAGTGACCCTTGGATAGGTTTGCGCTGCTGATAATGCAGTGGAGTGGCTGGACAGATAGAGTGCATGCCTTCACCAGCAGCTCATGGAAAAGTTGGAGTGAGGCAGCACTTGTTATTGCGGTCACCCACTAATGCAAAGGCCCGGAGAAGCATCACTGAAGAATGAGCTCACCGCTGGATGTATGGAGACAAAGCCCTGAGAGATGGAAAGCAGAGAATGAATACACGGGGGGGGGGAAATGTTATTCTAGATTATTTTGAACCGTCTCGAGGACCGCTGTTGGCCCCAGTTGGGAATAATTTAAAACATGCAGAGAATATGTCATCGTGATACTATTTTTGGAATGTGTTTTACCCTTTTTGTTCATTTACAAAAGACCAAATGTACAAAAAGATAGTCTGCGCTCCCCGGTAATGAAATATTAAAGTGCACATGTTTTATTTGGAAAGACTTTACAACAGATCTGTCTGAGTTAAATATTAGTAATAAACACTTGATTACTATTGTTAGTAACTTTTAGAATTCTGTGCTTATGTATGATTGTATGAATAGATGTGTTTTCTGATGCTGGACACAGGAATTTCAAATGGGATCTCTCTATCTCTCTATCTGGAACTCTGAGGAGCCCAGGGACTGGCCTCGTGCTGGTGCCCAGAGTCAGAATTTCAGATTTATTCTAAAACTGTCACATTCTTCCTGAAAATGTGAGACAGGCTTCTTCTCTGATAATGTTCAAATCCATGTTAAAAAACTGTTTAGCTGTGCATACAACTGAAGGATTGTATCTTTACGCTTTTTAATGTGATTATTTTGTAATCTATCTTTTTTTGTTGAGCACTTTTAGTTGCCTTGTGTATGAACTGTGCTATACAAATAAACTTAACTTGCCTTGCCTGGTTCTTCATCTTGGCTCGTGGTGAATACGGCACAGAGTTCTCATAGCGGGGCCCACTGCGGAAAAAAAAGGAAAAAATGGCGGCTCCAAGTGGGAAGCGCCCTCACAATTGTGTCGGTGGTGGACCGTGACATTTGTGGACATTGTACAAGAACAGCACCCTTCATCAATTCAACCTGCAATGAGATAAATGCTTATTGTACTTTCAAATGGAACAAGCCATTAGTGAAAAGGGTTTAAAATGGTGATGTATTAAAATCCAGGAAACAACTCCCTATCTCTCAAACAAGTTTGATTCTATTCATATATTTTTGGCCTCTGTTACATTTAAGATCAGCTTTTTCAGACAGAAAAGTGAAAAACAGGGAATCAGCCTCACTCAGCCAATCAGCTCTCAGCCCAAAGCATCAAACAGTGACTCACAGTATGCAACAGCAACAGAAACATGTTTTCTAAAAAGATAATTATAAAGACATGTTGTGGTCTCGTTTGTTCAGAACATTTTACTTTGATATGAGGCTCTGTCTTTTGGGACAAACAACATGGAACATTTCTGTGGTAAAAAACAATATATACACAGACATTATGTGTTATGCCAAGTACAAATCTAAAGTTAATCCACATATAATAGCATATAATAATATAATATAATAGCACCATAATATAATCCTACAAAATATATACATATAGTGTTTGTATAGTTTTTATAGTCTATTCTATAGACTATAAGTGACACTATAAAGACATCTCAAACATTATTTCTCATTAAAGAAAGTTAAACTCTTATTTGGTATGGAATCATTACACAAAGAGTGAAATAGTTTAGGTCTTGAGTATATGTTTAAAATGATCAACAATCTGTCACCACAATAGTAATACAAATAGAGAGCCTAGTTGTAGCAGTAACAGTAAGTGGTGGTTTATCTGAATTTAGCTGAAGTAGTAGTAGTAGTAGTAGTAAGAGATTATTGTAGTAGTAGTAGTAGTAGCAGTTGAAGAAGTTTAATTAGGCCTATTTTGAAGTATGAACTCTCATGTGTGCCAATCCCTAGGTAAGTAGTAGTACATGAGTATTACTAATTCTATGATAGAAGTGTCATTCTTTTTTGAAGAACCAAATAAATAAGTATAGTGAATACTAATATAAATACAATATAAAGAATAATACAATTATTAAAAATATTTCCCAGGGCCTCAGTAGCGCCTCCCTGTTGGCCGGACAGTGTAATCACAGGTGAAGGGTGAGGTGTCAAGCGGTCACAACATCCACAACAACAACATTGCTCCACCTGCGGAAGATCGCTAAGATATAATAAATCACGCTTTTTAAACACTCTACTACAACTTCAACACATGTATCGCCTCATTCCGACTCGGTGCCAACAGCTGTCAGAGCCAAATGATCCCAAACCAAGCAGATGTTTAGTTTTGAAGATGCTGGCGTCTACATGCTAACAGGCTAATGTGTGCTAACAGGCTAATGTGTGCTAACAGGCTAATGTATGCTAACAGGCTAATGTGTGCTAACAGGCTAACGCTAGCTGCCGCTGCCGAGATGTCGCAATCCGGCGGCGTGAGGAGATAGTTTACTTTTGTACTTACTACGTTCAGTTTACACAAGTAAAGGTAAGTGCTGACCCCTGTTGACTTGTCACCGCTTTAAGATTGAACAGTTTTGATTTATGCTCAGAAGTTTCAGACTACCTTAGCTTGTAGCTTCGTTTAAGCGTGCAGCTTTCAGATACATTATTCTCCCACTTATTGAGCTTAGATTTGCTCTCTTTGAATAATTAGTGGGCTATTTTATTATTCAGCCCAAGTTTATTAGGATAAATGCTTGTATTGCTATCATCATTTTATTTTCCCCACTGTGGGACGAATAAAGGATCTCTTATCTTATAGAATCGGAAATGTTTATTTCCTTTGGAAGTAACAGGAAGTCACAAACAAGGAATTTGCTTTGGCTCAAGGTGCAAACTAGTTATAAAAGTGTATGCATGCAAACATCTTCATTACATTTCTCAAAATTACTACTATATAGTGTACGTAAAGTACACACAATAGTCGTTCAAGTGACAGTAGCATTTTTCTGTACTTTTTGTCAGCAAGCCTTACATTTGAAGCCTAGGTACATGTTATATTTACTCCTCAAAACTGCAGAAGTATTTTGTCTAATGTCCGTATAAACGGACATTAGACACGGACACTGTATTTGAAGTGCTGCATTTTTTTGTTGTATGTTTTGTTTATTGTGATATTCTGTCAGCATGAGACAGTTCTATAACAGTAAAACGATTGTCTAACTTTTTCACAGGAAACTTTAAAAGTGTTAATTATATTGTCCTATTATGTATTTTTACTTTTAAGAACATGTACACGTGTACGTCTTTTATTTAGAGCTGGGGTGAAATGTTTACTACAGAGAAAGTCTTGTAAACCTATCACAAATCAGACCACAACATGCTGTCCTCATCTTATCAGAAAAGTTAACATGTTGTCTTTTGCATACTGGTTAGAAATAGCCCTGTGAGTCACAATTTGACTTATTGGGCTGCAATCTGTAACAGGGGCCAAAAACACATGATTGAACTGTTTTGAGAGCGAGGTAAATTAAATGTATTACAGTTAAACTTGCAAAATTAGGTATACCAACTTTAAGTTAGGGAATGCTTTAAATGTACTTGCCAGCTTCTGAAAGTAATGATTATATTAATCATAATTATTATTCGTATATCTCAGTGTTTTTTTTTTTGAGTATATGTAATCGTGTAAAACAATTAATGTAAAAAAACATGTTTTGTAGAAAAGGCTGATACAAAATTCTGCTGAAAATGATATTGAAAAGTAACTAATGATTTGATTTTAAAAAGTCAAATATTTAACATTTTAGTTGAGTTTACTTTTTTACAATGATTACAGCCATTACCACCATTGTACATTTTGTTCCATGTTTGAATTTCTACTGTGGATGTATTTTCTCTCTGAGTAAATGTCAGCCTCAGCTGGACGTTAAACAGACCGGTTACACGCTGTCCTCCTCATGAATAAATGAAAGACGTTGCGTAAGGGCTTTGTTAATGCACAGTTTTCCATACGCGCGCCCTTTGCTCCTCACTTATCAATAACGGGCTGAATACAGTGAAGTCTCTGCTCTCGTGTTTGGCCTAGACATACTTGGGTCTCCGGGGGTTGGCGTCTGGATCGTGTAATGATTTTTGATATGAGCTATGGAGAGAAATGCTGGATGGTGTTACGCAACGTTAGTGGTTGTGTGTTTTTCTTATAGACTTGTTGCAGAGACAAAAATAGAAATGCATAAACACAGATTGGAACGTAACAGGGACTTTGGGACTTGTTTGCAAAGAATCAGTTTGTGTAAATTTGGTTTCGCTGTGGGGTTTTGCGGTGGAGTTGTTTGCTTTGTCTAGAATGTGATGCAGTTTGTCATAAGGACATCCATTAAAAACATGTTTGTGAAGAAACACAACGTGACAAAAAATGGTTTTAAATCATTTACATTTTTGCTCAGCCCTAGACAAATAGGTCGAAAGAATCTTGATACATTTAGTAGTATTGAAAGTAAGAATCTTGATTTCCGATTAGATTTTTTTTTCTTTACTTTAGTCGAAAAACTAAATGAATTACAGATAAAGTTACAAAAAGTTACAAAAAAGCTATAATTTGAATGCCCAATGCTGTGTATGATATTTTATCCAATCACAGTGAAAGATGAGGACACATGAGGGTTGTGAGGTTAAAGCGTTATAAGGTTCTTATAATAGAACGAAAGTGTCAAGAAGCAAATAAGGTAGTACTACAGTTAATAAACACTTAATGATGAAATAATTCTTTTTTGAGCTGAATTTGGATGATTTTTCCTAACTTGATCAATGCTGCGTCAATTAGATCCCAATTAAGGCTATTTTTATTCTATTTAATCACTGTGGTGGGTCAAAATGACCCAAGGACAGCACAAGGGTTAAGCAGCACTAGCTTCTTTACACCTTTGTATTATAAGGAGAGACCTGCGAAGCCTGAGTGTGTTTAGCTCATTGTTCTGTTACTGCCATAAGTGGCGTCAGTATGTTTTGTCTACCAAAGTTGAGATTGCGAAATTCCTGTATTTGCACAGCCTTGGCCTTGATCAATCCCTGGTATCAGATTCATATTTGAGTGTTGAGCATTTTTGAATGTAAAAACATATATGCTGAGGATCCCAGAGGAAAACAACTGGACCAGACTTTGTGCTTTGTCCCTCGGTGTCTGTGTGCTTTCCTGAGTAGATAGTTGTTTTCTCATTTGTGTTTCCATCGGAGGACTTAAATGTGGGCCTGGCTCATTAGGCGCTGACACTGAAGTTGAAGCACAGATGCTGCGTCAGAGGCCGCTGTCCAGTAGAGTGGAAGTGTCAACAAGTGTTCACTAATGCTACAGCAGCGGCATGCGCCGAGAGGAATAATGGTTTCCACAAATGATGGGTTATCAGGACATGTGATAATCTGCTTTCACAGATGTTATCTGACAAAAATGTGGGAAGGTGGAGGACGGTCATCCAATGAATCATATTTGAGATTTCTGTTGACTCAATGAAGCTCACAAAACTATTCTATCATCTATATCATCAGACTATGATGTGTATCTAGATACAGGGGACTGAAAACAGATCTGTTTAGCTGTAAATGCACTTCATGTGCTGTGATTATTTTTTGGATTTGCTTTTCAATTTGAGACAATTAATTTTTTACTGTATCGAGTCAATACAATTTAGCAAAAAATATAGGACTCTCAACTCATTTTTTTATTATTGTGTTTGTTTGGATTGGACAGTGTGTATTAATGACCATCAGCAGCTCTTTATACACCAGATTATAGCGTAGCTAATTTCCATCTGTAGTACCACAGTCACCCTCTCATGAAAATACTTTGTCAACTAATAGGTAATTAGTAACTTGCTTTACTTTGGCAATCATTTGACCTAACAGCTTGAATACAGGAGAATATGTGATCCCGTGATTATTTAAATCAAGTGTGAAGTATCTTCCAATGTTTATCCTTTGAACCAGAGGAATGTACCCACGCTGATCATTTCTTCTCATATATTACTTTTGTTGTGGCGTGATGGTGCTGCCACTTGCATTCTTCCCATTCTGTGCATAGCGCCTTCCAGAAGCCCTGATTTAGTGTCTGCGTTTGAGCAATCTGTCAGAGACTCCCATATTTACATTCCGTCGGCTCGCTCTTTCCACCGTTACATGGGAAAATATGACACAGCTTCACCGCCTCCGCTTGTTATTGATAAAAGTGAGGATTAAGTTGTGCGAGTGGTGCCAAAGCAGGCAATTATCTAGCCGCATGTTTGTAGACAGACTCCTGGTCAGGGGCAGGAAAAGGGCAGACACCATGTTGAAATGATGAATGAGTGACACAGAATTTTTAAGCTAACTTGGCCTAACCTGAACAGCCCTGGGTCATTTTGGCCGCAGCTTATTTAAGGTTATGGTCACTTTATTAATCCATGTTGTGTATGCCATTTTACTCATCCTGCAATACCACAAGAGCCTCTGTCTGTAACAGTGGGGGCTGTTGTACAGGGCCTGGGGTTCATCCTCAGATGTTGATGGATGGACTGATCAGAACTACCAGAGCACCAATGCAAACTACACTCAGAATGGCCCTGTTCTGACCAGGATTTAAACCCAAGACGTTCTTGCTGAGAAGCAAGTGCTAACCAAGGCTAACCACTAAGTCACCTGCCCGCCTTATAATATTGACACGAAGGAGCCATAAAGAACAGTGTGAGGATTGTGAGGTGATTGTGAGTGTGAGGATCACAAAACTATTGACATTTAGCTTTTTTGGTTTCCATGTGAATTCATTCAAGCTGATTATCAGATCATAAAGCAAAATGAGCCTGACAAGTCTCTTGTATAAATGGGGAAAATAAGTTTTCAACTAATTTTTGGAGCAACAGGCCACTGACCAGACTGGGCGTCCATCATGGTGGGCTGTGACTGGAGCCCACATGAAGGACACAACCATCTGGCTCAACCATCCTGCTCAACCATCCTGCTCTCAGAGAACGCACCAACAATACCAGCTGGCTTCATATTGTCCCTTTGATCATAACTATATTATCGTCTCAGGGTTCGTATTGTAGTCCCTGATCCCTTTGGTGGTTATAAGTACAATTTTACTTGCACTTTTCAGCAGTTACTGGTTGTGTCGTCTAACCAATGCTCTCTCAACTTGACTTGGAGGAATAATATCACGCATCACATATTTGTTATTGATACTTGACACAAAACACAATTACAAATATCTTTTATTAAAAGCGAGGATCACGTCTGATTTGTTGAAACGGGGTATCTTTGGATCTTTATAAGCTAAGACAAATACTAATGTCTTTATGTGTGTTCCAGATGGCCGTGTCGGTGAGGGGCCTGTACTTCATCGTCACCCTGTTTTTGGGCAGTTTTTTCGGGAGCATCTACATGTTGGGGCCCTTCCTGCCCCTCATGCTACTGTCTCCGGCCTGGTACCGCTGGATCACCGACCGCATCGTGGCCACGTGGCTCACCCTCCCTGTGGTGGGTACCATGCAGGAGATGAAGTCGCCTGCTGCAAATACACACTTACCGTATTTAAAGTGTGTGTGGATGTTATTTTAAGGTTTAGAGTTGTTGTTTTATAGCTGTTCTCCCGTGATTAACATCATAAAGAAAACGTTCTTTTAATAAGACAAAAATCTAGTACTGCTTAATTGACTCACTCGCTTCTTTGCATTTTTGTCTTATGTTTAATGCTTAGAAAGTTCTTTTCATGAGAAGACGAAAATTCACGTTTTACATTTTATACTGACGGAGCGGGTCCGTCTGTAGTTACGTGCGCGGACTGAGTTTTAAAGTAAAGGCTGACTTTAATGCCGCATGCGCCACACGCGCATGCACGCACACACACGCCATTCCAAACGCGCGCACCCCTTTTTCCCTCCGTTCTATTAATGCTTAACATCCACACGCATCATCCATACTCTTCCCTCAGTTACTAGTTTGCCCAGGGGTGCACACTTGTGCGGGCTAGAAATACATTTAAGCATACATTCATACACGTACCGGTCTGTCGCGCTCCTCTGCATCTGTGCGCGAGGATCAAACCAGGACCATACTTCCTGGTGGGTTAAATGTGCCCTGGGAGCGTGGGGAATTATCCTCAAGGTTAAATGTACTTATAATGGCCTAATATTTCATTGTAGAGTATAGTATTAGGTGTTGGACCAATAGGGAATGGGTCAATATATGTATTCTCTGTTTATACGTCCCATTTGTAATAATTAATTTTGCTCAATGGGAGGAGCAAAGGGGACTATAAAGGAGAGCCGTGCCTGGCACCCGTCAGTCTCCTGCTGGTTACAGAGGAGGTAACTACCTGGACTCATTAAAGGTGACCTATGTGTCCGAGTGGACCTGTTGATTTTTTACTGCTAAATTCACTGTACATATGCTCTGCACTGCCTGCACCAATTTTTATGCACTTTGGGGAAAATAAAAACACGAATAATCACTGCAATCCGAGCTCGCCTGTATTTTTTCTGAAGTAACCCACGACATATACTCTTTATTCATTCCTCACCAAACATGTTCACGCACGCACGCACACAAATACAGTGCCTTGCGAAAATATTCGGCCCCCTTGAACCTTTCAACATTTCGCCACATTTCAAGCTTCAAACATAAAGATATAAAATTTTAATTTTTTGTCATGAATCAACAACAAGTGGGACACAATCGTGAAGTGGAATGAAATTTGTTGGATAATTTAAACTTTTTTAACAAATAAAAAACTTAAAAGTGGGGCGTGCAATATTATTCGGCCCCTTTACTTTCAGTGCAGCAAACTCACTCCAGAAGTTCAGTGAGGATCTTTGATTGATCCAATGTTGTCCTAAATGACTGATGATGATAAATAGAATGCACCTGTGTGTAATCAAGTCTCCGTATAAATGCACCTGCTCTTTGATAGTCTCAGGGTTCTGTTTAAAGCGCAGAGAGAACCATGAAGACAAAGGAACACACCATGCAGGTCCGAGATACTGTTGTGGAGAAGTTTAAAGGATTGGATACAAAAAGATTTCCCAAGCTTTAAACATCTCAAGGAGCACTGTGCAAGCAATTATATTGAAATGGAAGGAGTATCAGACCACTGCAAATCTACCAAGACCCGGCCGTCCCTCCAAACTTTCATCTCAAACAAGGAGAAGACTGATCAGAGATGCAGCCAAGAGGCCCATGATCACTCTGGATGAACTGCAGATAACTACAGCTGAGGTGGGGATGGTGTGTTCAGGGTGATGAGCTGTGTTGCTTTTACGCCAAACATATCGTTTTGCATTGTGGCCAAAAAGTTTCATTTTGGTTTCATCTGACCAGAGCACCTTCTTCCACATGTTTGGTGTGTCTCCCAGGTGGCTTGTGGCAAACTTTAAGAGACTTTTATTGGATATCTTTGAGAAATGGCCACTCTTCCATAAAGGCCAGATTTGTGCAGTGCACGACTGATTGTTGTCCTATGGACAGACTCTCCCACCTCAGCTGTAGTTATCTGCAGTTCATCCAGAGCGATCATGGGCCTCTTGGCTGCATCTCTGATCAGTCTTCTCCTTGTTTGAGATGAAAGTTTGGAGGGACGGCCGGGTCTTGGTAGATTTGCAGTGGTCTGATACTCCTTCCATTTCAATATAATTGCTTGCACAGTGCTCCTTGAGATGTTTAAAGCTTGGGAAATCTTTTTGTATCCAAACCCGGCTTTAAACTTCTCCACAACAGTATCTCGGACCTGCCTGGTGTGTTCCTTTGTCTTCATGGTTCTCTCTGCGCTTTAAACAGAACCCTGAGACTATCAAAGAGCAGGTGCATTTATACGGAGACTTGATTACACACAGGTGCATTCTATTTATCATCATCAGTCATTTAGGACAACATTGGATCATTCAAAGATCCTCACTGAACTTCTGGACTGAGTTTGCTGCACTGAAAGTAAAGGGGCCGAATAATATTGCACGCCCCACTTTTCAGGTTTTTTTTTTTTTTTTAAGTTTAAATTATCCAATAAATTTTGTTCCACTTCACGATTGTGTCCCACTTGTTGTTGATTCATGACACAAAATTAAAATTTTATATCTTTATGTTTAAAGCTTGAAATGTGGCGAAATGTTGAAAGGTTCAAGGGGGCCGAATACTTTCGCAAGGCACAGTATATGCAATAATGTCATCTTTTGTTTCTTGTCTGGGAGAGTGCTGTGCCACAGTGGGGTGGCTGTAGGCTAAAGCACTCACTGTTGTAGTGTCTTAAGGCCAGACACTTTCCACTACAGGGTTCTCCAACAGATGGCTCCAGAGCTTCTTGTAGCTCAACACTACTTTCCAAGAAATTCACCCAGGGATTTAGAAATGACATGGAACACAGGAAGTTGACATGGTTAATGTTCACCACAGGCGCTGCTGGAGCTGGTGTTCAGGGTGAAGGTGGTGATCACAGGCGATGGCTTCATTCCAGGAGAGAGGAGTGTGATCATCATGAACCACCGCACACGTCTGGACTGGATGTTCCTGTGGTGCTGCCTGCTCCGCTACAGCTACCTGCGGCTGGAGAAGATCTGCCTCAAGGCCGGGCTGAAGGCTGTGCCTGGCTTCGGTGGGTAGACCTCCACTTTCATCATAACATCAGCCTGCCCAGGGACTATGGGTGGAAATTAGCTCAAGAGCTATAACCTGGTACAATGCATCTTTCTCTTTCAGGTTAATGTTTATTGTACACTGTCCCTGTCATCTTAAATAAATAAACTAAACTAAACTTCAGGAACCATAAACCCAAAAACAGCCAATTCTGAGATGTTGATGTCAAAAAGTTTTTTTCTTTTCTAATATCAAAATGATCTTGACGATGCAGGAGGATCTAAGGACAGTGAAGATCCGGGACATTTATTAACATTTAAGGACATTGGTCCCGCTCCTTATGGACCAATGACTTCTATGTCTATGAGGGCTGCTCTGTGCACCTTTTTAGTAAACTTTTAACAACTTTTTAGCGCGTTTTTATTGTTCAGTTTTTTAATATATCCGAGTGTTTTATCTTATTAATTCAGTGGTTTCAGCAAATAGCGCTTAGTCCCGACTGAAACCCACTAGTAGCACAGAGGCTAACACAAGCTAACGAGGACATGGAAAGTGACAATGAAATTGGCTCAAACATGCACAATATTAGTCGCCTCACCTTGGAGCTCCGTGAGAGCGACCGTGCCACCATTGCAGAACTACGAAAAGAAGTCCTTCGTCTCACCGCAGAGTTGAATGAGAAACAATCTCTAGTGTCCAAACTTTTTGAAGTCGCTGGTGGGCAGCATTCACGGCTTATGTCACTGAGCGCTGCATATTGTGACACTGTCGTGTGGGAGAGATCCGTCAGCTCCGGACCCTCCTGTTCTACACCTAAGCGCCCGGTTCCGAATAACGAGCCCGCGGATTCCGAGGAGCCATCCTGCGCCGTGGCCCATGTCCTGAGTCTGGCAAACCGCTATGCAGCCCTCTCCACTGACATCCCGGCCCCCTCAGCAGAATCCCTGGACACTGCAGTGTACTCTACTGCTCGAGGATCCAAGTCCATTACGAGGAAAACGCTCCTAAAGGAAGCAGTCCTCAGGCAAAAGAGCGGTCCACCAGCCATGTTGGCCTGTTCCCCTTCTTTGACCCCAGTGCAGCAGCCTCAGACTGGGGTAGCGAGCCATCATCACCACCGCTCACCTCCACCGGGTCAGCAGCAGCGTCCAGAGCCAGCCCCTCTTACCGCTCCAGCGTCCCCGAGCACACAGCGTGGGTCGCCTGTAGCTGAGAGTCAGCACCCCCGCTCCTCCTCTCCATGTGTTCAGCGGCGCTCAGGCTCGGGTCCTGCTTCGGGTGAACCCGCTGGTTCCGTCCACCGAGCTCCTTCTCCGAGGCCACTCTTCGCCCCGACCACTCTGATTATTGGAGATTCCATTGTGAGACACGTCCGCTTCTTTAACGCGGTCACTCGCTGTATTCCCGGAGCTACTGTACCAGACCTGCTCATACGTCTCCCTCCTCTGCTTCAGTCCCTGCCTGATACCGTTTCCAAGGTAGTCATGCATGTGGGAATTAACGACATGAAACTTCAGCAGTCAGAAGTCACGAAGAAACATTTTATGGATCTGTTCCACCTCCTTCAATCCTCCGGATTATCTGTTTTTATTTCTGGTCCAATCCCGACTGTAAACAGAGGTGACTGCCTCTACAGTCGTGTTGTGGCGCTGCATATGTGGATCCAGGCTACATGCAGCTCTTTTAACTTTGTCTTTATGAATAACTTTGCCCTTTTCTGGAAACGTTACGAAGCCTATCGTCCAGACGGATTACACCCAAACAGATACGGTAGCAGCCTGTTGATGGACTACATGCGCCATGTTGTTCAGCGTTCCCCGAGGGGGGCGTGACTGTTTACATCTGAGCCCCCTCGGACCCCACCGCACTCCCCCGCCTCCTGCTCACCAGCACCGGGTGAGTACAACGGTGCAAACACTGCTCCCTGTCCGTCTGGCAGTGCATTACCAGTCCAAACACTGAACTGTGCTGACTCCCTTCTGACTCTGGGAGCTAAAGAACAACAAGGGTTTTCACATTTTAGGCCAATTGAGACTGTGTGTGTTCCTCGCACCAGCTCAAAAATGTTTTTAAATTCTAAAAAACGAAATCAAAACAGGACAGCAGTTAGACGGTCCAACTCTGCAAATCTAATTTCTGTTCCCTGTAGAAATCAATCAACCACATTAATCGACTCTGACGTTATTTTTAAACTTGCTATGCTTAATGTCAGATCTCTATGTAACAAATCATTTTTAATTAATAATTTTATCACTTCTTATGATCTTGATTTTATGCTTATGGCTGAAACATGGCTGGACCAAAATACAGGAAATGCAGTTCTAATAGAAGCAACACCACCCAATTTTAAATTAGAATCCGAAATACGAGAAAACAAAAGGGGGGGAGGCATAGCTGCAGTTTTTAGAGAGCACTTTGTCTCCCATAGAATGCCCCTTGGAAATTTTTCATCGTTTGAGTATATTTCTTTTAAAATGGAACAAAAGCAATCTTCTACTCTTTTCATTGTCCTGTACAGGCCACCACAGTCATGTTGCGATTTTATTGACCATTTTACTGAACTACTTTCATTCGTGTGCACAGATTTTGATAGTTTAGTTATTACAGGTGATTTTAATGTACATGTTGATAATGTTGATGACAGAAATGCAAAGGAGCTGGCTTCTGTATTTGAGACCTTTGGTTTCATTCAGCACGTGAGTGGCCCCACCCACAGCAGGGGGCACACTCTTGACCTGCTAATTACAAAGGGGGTTAATGTATCAAATGTTAATGTAGTTGATGTTGCTTTGTCAGATCATTTCTGTGTATTTTTTGACATGTGTTTTGCTAGCAAACCACCAGCTGAATTTACAATTGTTAGAAGAAGACACATACATGAAAACACAAGTGAACTGTTCATGGGAATGCTAAATTTTGAGAAAACTCCATGCTCTACTGTTGATGAATTGTATAACTCTGTCACCACCAGTGTTCTGACTGTTCTGGACGCCATTGCTCCTGTGACGGTTAAAATAGTTACCAGTAAGAAAAAGGCCCCATGGACTAAGGCAGACTCGGTCAGGGCACAGAAGCAAGAGTGCCGGAGGGCCGAACGGAAGTGGCGAAAGTCCAATTTCCAGGGCGATTATGAAATCTTTAAAGATGAGTTGGGTGAATTTAACCGGGTTCTACGTAGAACAAGAGAAATGTATTTTTCTGACATTATTGGAGGTTGCAGTAACAATTTTCGTGTTATGTTTTCAACAGTTGGTAGATTAACAAACCCCCCTGTAAAGTTGCCCCTAGAATTTTCCTCTAAATCTAGGTGTAATGAGTTCGCACAGTTTTTCGATGACAAAGTACAAGGAATCAAAAACACTATCACCTCCACAGCACGTATAACAATGCAACAGCCAGAGAAGCTTTTTGAGCTAACTCACTTTGCACCTGTGGATACTGAAACCGTCAAAAAGATAATCATGACTCTGAGCTCCTCCACATGTGGCCTGGATATATTGCCCTCTAAATTTCTGAAGTCCGTCCTGAGCAGTTTGTTACCGTCACTGACACAAATATTAAACATGTCTCTGTCGTCAGGAACATTTCCTATGGCCCTAAAAACAGCAGTCATAAGACCTCTCCTGAAAAAGAGCAGTCTGGATCCTGCGGGACTTCAAAATTATCGCCCCATATCGAATCTGCCATTCATTGGAAAAATTCTTGAAAAAGTGGCCTCCCAACAACTTACTGAATTTTTAACAATGAATAATTCTTTTGATATGTTCCAGTCTGGGTTTAGACCCCACCACAGCACTGAGACCGCTCTAGTGAAGGTAACAAACGACATTCGACTTCACACTGATGCAGGTAAAGTCACAGTTTTGGTCATGTTAGATCTTAGTGCCGCGTTCGACACTGTCGACCATGAGATCCTCATTCAGAGACTGGAGGACTGGGTTGGTGTCACTGGCACAGCCCTAGACTGGTTTAGGTCTTACCTGGAGGATAGGAAGTACTTTGTGGAGATTGGAGACTGCGTCGTCTCAGATCATGTGGCCCTGACCTGTGGAGTACCACAGGGGTCGATCCTGGGACCTCTCCTATTTAATCTCTACATGCTGCCGTTAGGTCAGTTAATACAAAGAAACAAAGTGTCCTACCACAATTACGCCGACGACACTCAGATCTATGTCTCACTGACTGCAGGAGAACATGGACCACTGGATTTGCTCCTTCACTGTATCCAACAGATCAGTGACTGGATGCAAAATAATTTCCTCCAGCTAAATGCAGACAAAACCGAAATCATTGTCTTTGGTCCCCAGAAACAAAGAGAGGGCGTCATTTGTCAACTTCAGTCTCTCTCCCTACTTCCTTCAGACAAGGTCAGAAATTTGGGGGTAATACTGGACTCAGACCTAAATTTCAATAGCCACATAAAATCAATAACATCAACAGCTTTTTACCATCTGAAGAACATTGCCAAAGTTAGAAATATAGTGTCCAGGGCAGACTTGGAGATTCTTGTCCATGCATTTGTCTCCAGCAGGCTAGACTACTGCAATGGCCTGCTTACAGGTCTGTCCAAACAGACCTGTAAGCAGCTGCAGTACATCCAAAATGCAGCAGCTAGAGTCCTGACAGGAACCAGGAAGTATGACCATATTAGTCCAGTCCTCAGGTCTCTGCACTGGCTTCCTGTGGCTCAAAGAATAGATTTTAAAACAGCTCTGCTTGTGTACAAGTCTCTCCATGGCCTTGCACCAGAATACATTAGTGACATGTTGGTGTCATATGAACCGGCCCGGACTCTGAGGAGCACAGGGACTGGCCTCCTGCTGGTGCCCAGAGTGAGAACCAAACATGGGGAGGCTGCGTTTCAGATCTATGCAGCTAAGATCTGGAACAATCTCCCTGAAAATGTGAGGGAGGCGTCTACTCTGTCAATGTTCAAATCCAGGTTAAAGACTGTTCTGTTTGCCTGTGCATACAACTGAAGGATTTTATCTCCATTTCTAATGCACTGCTGTCATTTATTTATTTATTTTAAATTTCTTGTGTAATTTTGAAAGTTTTAATGGTTTTATTCTTTTGTGTGATTTTAATGTTTTAATTGTGTTTTAATCTTTTGTGTGATTTTAATGTTTTAATTGTGATTCTGGTGTTTGTTTTATGTGATGATTTGTGATGTGGACTGTGAAGCGCTTTGTGTTGCCCTGTGCATGAAAGGCGCTCTACAAATAAACTTTGATTGATTGATTGATGTGTTTGTTATTATTGCTCATCTTAGTCCTTAACTTTTCCTTCAGGCTGGGCCATGCAGGTGGCCTGCTTCGTCTTCATCCAGCGCCGCTGGGACGAGGACAGGCTCCACTTGGAGAACATGCTCCACTACTTCTGTGACATCAGAGAGCCCCTGCAGCTGCTGCTGTTTCCTGAAGGCACCGACCTGACTGGTGAGCACTGTGCACCCTCACTATTCCATTTCCCACAGAGATTCTGCCTCAGGACTAGTTAGCATCTAGTATTTTAGTACTCTAATAAAGAGACCACCTAGTATTGCAGTCCCTTTGTGATGACTGACATAACTGGTGCTGTTACACAAACAAAACTCCACTGAAGGTTGACTTCAGGCTCTGATCACTCCATCCCAGGATGCACAGCTCTGTCAGATTACCACTAAGTCTGAAGGACTCGTGCCGCGATGTGAAGGAGGCAGCAGCTTACGTCTCCTAGTGCTCATGTGTATTTGAGGGACTTTTTCCTCTGATAGGACTGATTTGTGGAATTGTAAATGTTTAAAGACTTCTGTAGAAGTGCAATTTAAGGCTCATCACCTTGACCTTGCAACCTAGTTTTGTGTCGAGGTTTGTTCAGCGTGAACACTGCAGCCAATTATTGCCATTCACATTTAACTGTTTAATTGTCGTCACAAGTCACACGAGGGACATAATGACTGCTTAACAAAAGTGAACCTTTTACCCTCAAAGTTTGGGCTTTTGCGCTTTTTCCTTTTATGAATGTTTTGATCAAAAAAAGGAAGGACCCAAAAATACAAAACTGCAAAAAGAAAACGATTGACTAAACAAGGAGCTGTAAACTAACAGAACCAGGAGTAAAACACATAGGAACACACAGGAACAGATAATACAAAATAAAACAGGAACTCAAAATGACAACTATGACAATGAATATACCATGTTCTGATAAAAAGAATGTTTGAAAATGTTTACTCTACGTGGATGATAAACTTTCTGTGGCCCATTATAATGCAATAATGCGTCTGCATTTTTGCACAAATGAACCACAAAATAGGTAGCTTCTATAAGTCCTCTTCCTCTTCCCATGTTTCCAGCTTACAGACGTTTACTTTAAACTGCTGCCAGAATTGATCTGTGACATTTGTGTGTTAGAGAAGACCAAAGGCAGGAGTGATGCTTTTGCCGAGCAGAACGGGCTTCCCAAGTTTGAGTACGTGCTGCACCCGCGGACCACCGGCTTCACGCACATCGTCGACATGCTCCGGAAAGGCAAGACTCATCATACACTCTGACAGTAGTCGCACAACATTTGAACATCACACATTAGGGCATAACTAACCAGGGGAACTCCAGCCCTATTGATATTCAATATGACATGCATTTTTATTCAATTTCTCATGTTTAAGAATCTTTTTGTTAGAGTATTGATGCCAAACTAATGAAATTAACATTGGTAAACACATTACTTCTCTTTTGGTATAACTGATTAGAGCAGGTGTCTCCGACCTTTTTCACCGAGAGAGCTTTTTTTCCACGACAATAAAGGCAGAGAGCTACTCCTTTAAGCAAACCCTGGGGAAAATGTGGTGATATATTGGTGTGAACAAGTATGAGATTGGGTACAGTCATTATTTTGTCATCGCATATTTGTTACTAGTGCTACAAAGTAAGTGCATTTACAATTATATGATGAATAATACAATCTGAAATAGTTAGTGTATTATGTTATTTATTTCTATTTATCTAAATCCTTTGGTGAGCTACCTAGAAGGAGGCGGCGAGCTACTGGTGGCTCCCGAGCTACAGGTTGGAGACCCCTGGATTAGAGCAGTGCTTCTCATTTAGTTGTAGTTCACTAATTATTGTAATGTGCCGATGTAAACGAATATCTGAATCTACTAAAAAGACAAGATGGACTTTCCTGAACTAACTAAGTTAATTTTCTGGTCGGAGTGGCTATCGCCAAGCCCTGAGAATATTTGTGGTTAGATCTTAAAACGCATAAGCCAACCAATCTTCTGTCAGGAGGAATTGGCCAGAATTCCAACTTTCGCATGAATACTCTAAACACCATTTTATCAATGAAATTAGGTCTCAGACCAGCACTTGTGTGTGTATATGTGTGTGTGTCAATGTAGAACTTGTGGTCGGATACATTTTTTTGTGGTTTTTCATTTCCCTATGCACTGTAACACAAGAGAAACAACATCACCACGCATACTTGCCTGAGCACACTATTCGATTAGGACATTAAAATGAAAATACATATATTCTGTTAGTGTGTTTTTATAGTGTTTTTGCTAATTACCATGGGTCCCACACCTGTGTCCGTGTCAGTTGTTGCCCATTATTGACGCTCTCTACATAAAGTCAGGGTAATGTGGAGCAGCAGATCTAATGCTGATGATCCAGCATGTTCCACTGACGGCAGCCTCTCCTGGGCTTTCTGATCCCTGAGAGCGGCTCCGCGTCACACAGCTCTCACCAAGAACCAGCTCATGTTTCCTGTGAGCTAATCCTGGCTCCTCTCCACATGTCTTTAAGCACCTTTTCACTTTATACTCACGCACACACACACAACACACACACACACTCTCTCTCTCTCCCGGAGGCCCTTGTCTCCTGGCAGGTGCACCGGAGCAACCATGATGTCACTGCTCTGTCATTGTCCTCTGCAAAAGGGAACGCACTGTGCCAACCTCTGTTCACTTGAGATGTGTGATGATTACAGAAAACAAGACATGATGTGCCTTTGGACACAGAGCTCAAAATTCGACATTCAAAATCCCCAGGGGAGTTTCGAAAATACCAAATATGAATAGTTTGAAGCCGCGACGGAGACAAACGAGCTAACTGCTAACCGCTATCCACAGCATATTTGTTATTGTAGATCTAGTGGTCATTACTCACCAGATTAGCCTTTCTCTCCTGAACACTTTTTCAATCTTTGATAAGGATATAAATTTTTTAAATCCTTATGGGGATTTGAGTTAAGTTGAATGTTTAAGTTTATTTCGAGTTCAATGTACTATCATGGCTGGTGCTCTGGGAATTGGGTCACAACTGATTGCCACCTCCCCGACCCAGAAATAGACAAAGGGGAAGAAGATGGATGGATGGATATACTATCATAATGTAATGTAATTATCAAATGTCACTGCGTAGAATTTTCTAGCAAATCATTCATTAACAATCACTTATTACAATATTGTACATAATATTTATTTTGTATTTTTCATGATTTGACTTCCTGAAATCCACTGCCCTGCCTACTTCACAGTTTCATACACTTTTAATCTATGACATACATCTAAATAAATGTTTAATGTATATAGATACATTTGTCATTTACACTAATTTTTTTGTTGAGTTATTCATGCACCGTTGAGTTGTTTTTATGCTTTTGCACTTGAGACATCATCATTCTCCCTAACTCCTCTGACCATCACCAAGGCAACATCCCAACTGCTTTTACGCTTACTCTGATTCCGTCAGCGTTATTTATCACACAAAAACATGAAAAAACTGAATAATTATCATCAGATTCAGATTTATTTATTTGCCATTTTCAGTAAAACCACATTGGAATACAACCGCAAAAGTCCCCATGTGCACAAGACAAGTACATAAATAAATCAAACTGATTTATGCTCGATGAAAACAAGAAGTAGATCTGCGTCCGTCCGACCCACTGTGAACTGTGATGTATTTCGCGAACCCAGGGTCACACAAAGCTGTATTTTATATCGACCTCTGGAAACGCATCGATAATTCATGAGAGATTTGAGAAGTCATTTGGCCTCATCTCCATCTCTCATTCAGATAACACAGCACAACGTCCCGCTCCAAACTGATCCGTAATCTGGCCCCTGTATCCGAGCGCATATTAAGCTGAGCTCCGCATAACGGGGCCCAGAGCGGGACACTCAGGGGCCCTCGACGCGGCCCTCACCTCCAGGGAGGACACTGCTGAGGTGAGCTTTTGCCCGACCACAGCAGCATCAGTGTGCGTAATGGGACGAGTGACTAACACAGGTGTGGCTGCTCTAACCACCGCGTGCATCATGGAAAACTGTCTCTGAGCCAGAGCCGCAGCTTTTGATCGGGCGTCATTGTCGTTATGTCATCCGTGGTTGTACTACTTAAAGACTCATAATCACCGGCTTTAAACTGTTGAACTGCAGCCAGACAAGTAAGCACTCTTCATGCTGGTACACTGCCACATAGTGTTGTCATCATTTATTAAAGAAAGAAAAAGATTCTTTATTTATCCCCTGTTGGAGAATATCCGGTGTCCAGCAGAAACACATCCATCGTTACAAACAAAACAAATAAATACATAATTCTTAAAGTAGCTAACAGCAGTAAAATTAAGTGAAATGCTAAAAGCTTTATTAGCATTAAAAAATATGCATTCCTTCAGTGGTTTTATTCTCGATCTGCTTGGTTCGGACCGAGCATCCCCTCTGCTCTGATCAGTGTAAAACTATGAATAATACACTGTACTGCAGAAACATTTATAGGTAGCAAGAAGAATGACGATTGTAAAGCACAAAACAACAACTATTTCAGAACTACTCAGGACTTGTTGACGTTTCCAATATATTCAAACTTTTTCTTTTCCTAATGTATTATTATTATTTAATTATTTCAAGGGTCTCCAACCTTTTTCAATCGGATAACTACTTTTATGTAAAAGAAAATGCAGAGAGCTACTCCTTTTCTGAACTCAAAAATAATTGTAAACCACTTTGGGTGAACTTGGTCTGAGAAATACGCTATACATAGTTCCCACAGACCAATGAATGTCACATGACCTCCTCGGAGACGCCATCTTTGATGGCACGCTGCTGTGTTTGTGCATTCCATTAAACAGAAGAATGAGAATAAATGTAGATATTCAAACGCAAATTGGAAAAAAAGGGCAACTTTTGAGCAAATAATTGTATATTAATACAATGGCACCACAGTTTAACGTGCTACGGACATGTTTTACATATTTGATCAAATTATGCAGCAAAAATTAACAAGCAATGCAAACATTTCTCAAAAACTTTAGATTTAATACCAGTTGGAGCTCCATTTAATTATTTTAATTATATTAACAATTAATTTAATTAATGCTAATGCCACACGGACACTCTGGATTGCTGTTATGGTTTATTTCCGCGTTTTTGACCGTATGTTTTTGGTGAATGGTGGGCAACTGATTTTTCCAGGCGTAAAGAGCAGTTTATTTTATGACACAGATCTTTTTACAGAAGCAATGCTGTTTGTGAACATTGTTTTAGCCCACCATAGAACTATTATTATCTATTTAATACATTTACGTTGCCCTCGAGAGCCTCGGACGCGACACCGATCCTCCTCATAATAAAGTAATCTAACGCTAAATAATGAAACTCTCAAGTTACCAGATATCAGCATACACAAGTTAGTACTGAGTAAATTACGTCTGTCAACACATTATAAGATACGATACGCACCTGACACAAAGTGCTCCGAGCATATTCTTGCGTGTTTTGAGGGAGTTTCTTGCCTGTTTATCTTCGCAAGCCATAACCTCCGTGGTTGTTCTGACAAAAGCTTAGTCTTCTCACATTCATGAAGTCTAATGATGGGTATACTGTAAAATCCAAGTTTAACTGAACCTCCGGCACGATTAGAACATCCATTGACCCAGCAGGAGACGACCATTTTCAACTTTATCACACGTTTCAGCTTCTTTTTCTATTTTTTGGCCCACAGAATGCCAAGACAAATGGCGCCGGGTCGGCAAATCCCCGTATGTAGTGACGTCATGTGGGAACTATGTATATAAGATAAGATAAACTTTAATTGATCTTACAATGGAGAAACATGTCAAATTTGGCATAAATATGATCACTCTGGGTGTGCAAAAGGACTGGAAATGTGCATTAAAGATTACTTACTTTAGCAGTAGTAATAAAATTGTAGTCTATAATAACTACAGCACACATCCATAATATACCATTGTACAGCGCAGTATCTCTGCATAATGAAAAGATGTATTGTTAGAATAGATATATGTATTGACTCAAAAGTGAATCATTCAGGATCACATGAAACATTATTAAATCCTTTGGCGAGCTACTGGTAGCTCCCGAGCCACAGGTTGTAGACCTCTGATTTATTTGATGGGATTTTGAAGGACAATGCACATTAATATTGAACGTCAGTCTAAAACAAATGTAAATATGCCTGAACTACAAAGCTAGTTTTCATCTCTAGTCCCTCGGCAGGTAAATAAGAAATCACAACATACTAGACGGTAGAGCCCTGCACTTGAGCCTTTGGCCTGAGGGCCCCGACGGCCCGACAGTCCGAGGGCCGGGCTTCGGGCCGATGACCGCATAATGACCTCGGACACGGGCCGGGCTCGGGCTCTTCATTTTCAGAGCAGCAGAATACATTTACGAACGCACCCACTGAATATAGCGTTCTATCACGCTGTAGTGTTTGTTGTTCTGTGTAGTGTTGTCATTGACGACACATAGCGTTACTTACAGGTGTGTTGCAGCATCTGTGTATCATACAGCTGTGTATCATACAGCTGTGTATCATACAGATGCGGCCGTTCACTCTGCACCACTCCGCACACACAGAACTCATTGCAACACATCACTACCATGTATAACTCCGCCCTCTAGCTAAGTCTGCGTTCATATCAGTGCATTCATATCAGTGCATATCATATACTACGCTAAAACATTGTTATGGGATGTTACAAAAAAAAAAAAAAGTCGGGCTCGATGCGGGTTTCGGGCCTGAAAATTCAGAAACCATATCGGGCCGGGCCGGGCTGGGGCTCCACCCCTTCGGGCCAGGGCCGGGCTCGGGCCCAGATAATAGGCCCGTGCAGGGCTCTACTAGACAGGCAGCACAAAGACAGAGTTTAGTGGCAGATAGATAGATTAATCCCACAAGGGGACACTCAGGTTACCAGACATAACAGATTTTTTTTTTTTTTTACACACAATCATGAATAAATACACTGCAAAAAGTGGGTAAAAGTAAGTAATAGAAATTGCTCAAATTTTGCTGAACGTATTTTGCCTGCTTTATAACAAATTTCGCCAATGGGACAAGCCTAATGATCTTGTTTTAAAAAGATACAAAAATATCTCCCTTGGAACGAGAAAATGAAGCAACAGTTCTTGAAATAAAATGAAATGGCACTGTCCCATTGGCAAATGTTGTCAGAATGTACTCAAATTAGATAAAAACCACTTGATTTTAGCAATTATTCCCTCATTCATTCCTTTTCTACCCCTTTTGTAATCCATTTCTGGGTGGCAATCAGAGCTGCCACCCAATGCCTCACTGATGGGGTTAAGTGTCTTGCCCAAGGCCACAACGACAGCAGACATCGGTGGCCAATGCTCTGCCAACTGAGCCGCTGTCGCCACCCCATTATTACCTCATTTGACAAGTTCGTTCAAGGCTGTCATCTTTAGCAGTGTAGTAATATCTAATCCAAACATATAACCCAGGATTAAACAGCGGCCAGTCTCCCTCAATAAATGACGACTTTAATGCATTATCAAACAAATGAAAGATGAGCCTGTTTTATTAGATCACTTGTTTCTGCATGTGTTTAAAAGTCTGTGTATGAACTTTGATTGATGCTGGTGATGATGAATATCGAAATAGCTGCCCTTGAATGAACTTGTCAAATATGACTCATGAGTCATAGTGGCATCCTGTCTCTGTGGAGATGGTCTCAGCTCATTCAGTCCACGGACAACCACAGTTTAAATCATGCTGAGAAAGAGAGGCTAAACAATGTTGGAAATTAAGTGCGGTACGAGATAGTGATGTCAGGAACTGAAAATGTACTGTAAATTGTGACATTTCTTCTATTTTCTGGAGATTCATGCAGATGTTATTTCTCAGCTTGGAATGTCCGTCAGTGGTGTGTAAACGTTTTGGGTATTTGCAGATGTTTTACTTATCAAAAAGCGAAATCCTAGACTTAGCTCAGAGACGTATCCTTTCTTGTTTATGTATTGATAAAGTTAAGGCTATTTATTTATTTATGAATCCAAGACTATAGTGTGGAACATTCCAAGCAGATGGCGAGACCCGCCTCCAGTAAACCAGTTCTGTATTTTTACATTTAAATTTATAAAAGCAGAAAACCTTCATACAAAATAGTGCAAAAATTGAATTCTGGCCCATTACTCCTGACAGAAGTTTTGCTTATGCCTTTTAGAGATCTAAGCACAAAAGTGGTGGTGGCCTCTCCGACCTGAACATTGACTTTGTGAGTTTAGGAAGGTTCATCTTGTCTTCTTAATAGATTAGGTTATTTGTTTCTTATAATCCTCAAAGTAATTGTAATATTACTTTGACAGGATGACTTTGTCCTTTTTACCATGTTTATTCACTTTCAGTTTCAACATAACCTTTTTCTCTTTCTTTCTTTCTTTCTTTCTTTCTTTATTACTTATTCAGCCCCACTCTCAATTACTAGCTAAAAACACTTATTTCATCACAACCTCTTCTTCCTTTTAAAGGTGACAACCTGGACGCGGTGCACGACATTACCGTGGCCTACCCGCAAAACATCCCGCAGACTGAGCGCCATCTGGTGTTGGGCCTGTTCCCCAGAGAGATCCACTTCCACGTGCAGCGCTTCGAGGCCTCCACGCTGCCCCTGGGCGCCAAAGACCTGGAGGCCTGGTGCCGCGAGCGCTGGGCGGAGAAGGAGACCCGCCTACGGGACTTCTACACCGGGCAGCCGCGGGGTTTCGTGAGGGAGGGAGTGGCCCTAGTGCCGCCCTGCAAGAGCGAACTGCGGGTGGGACTGATCAAAGCCGCGTCGCTGCTCTACTGGACGGGTTATATCGCATTTTGTTTTGCCGGTTTGTGGCTGTGGGCCCCGTTCAGGTGGTTTTTGGGGGCAATGGTGTGTGTGTATGTGCTCCAGCAGAGGCTAGTGGGCGGGGTGGAGCTCCTCGAGATGCGCTGTCATAGGTATTGGAAGTCCAAAGAGCTAGAAGGGAAGATTCAGTGAGCGTTTTTGTAGATTGGTTAGCATTGGTTGGTTGTAGGTGTTAGCGGTGATGTTGACGATATGCCAATCAAAGGGATGTTGCCATTTGCATGATGCTGCTTTCTTCCTAACGACCTCGAGAACTCTGGGAAAATGCGAATGAGACCAGTTTGTCTTCAGCCTCATTCCCACAATGCAAAAAAGAAAGTTGAGACCAAAACCTTCCTCGTTACTCACTGAGCGATACCAAGTCATAAAACCAATCTGTTTCATAGCTGGTAGCTCTCGTGTGGGTCTGGGGAAGGGGATAAAAGAACAATCGCATGAGGGACAAAACTTTGCTAATGACAGCGTAGAAAGCCGTGGATCAAATGTCGAGCTCTTATCAAAGTGTGTGTTTTTGCTTAAAGCAGGGGTTCCTATTATAGGTTCCTATAGATAATTTATAAATACACTATAGAACACATTATATCACTAGTTTTCACATGTGTGTGTGTTTGGCCTCTGGCACATCTTTAGATCAACAGAAAAGGGACAAAGAGAGCACCACCCTCACTCGGTTTTCAGCTCAAAGCGTCAAAAAGGACTCACTTTTTACAAGTATGATAAAGATGCTTATTGTGATTTGAGACCCTTTCTGTTTGGACAAACATTTATTATTTAATGAATACCGCAGCTTACTCTCACAGGGAATAGCTGCACAATTCTCATTTCCACAGGTGACATCAATATCCTGAAGCAGATGTGTGGAAATGTCCGGGTCGTGTCAGAGCCAGAGAGTTCTGGAGAACGTTATGAACACAGCAGCAGTTTATCAGGGACCAGAGAGCGGGGCTCGGTTACCGGGAAATTGGAGTTTCCTTCTGAGCAAAATTCTCATAGGAAAGGAAGTAGATTGAAAACAGTTTGTTTTGTAATTAAACAGAGACCTGTGTCTGAATTTCGTGTCATTACCTTTAATGACACATAATTTTCAATATTAGTTCATTAGAGCATGGGAATTAAATTAAGTATCAAAACTAGAAAGTAAGTCCTGCTTTAGTTTGTATGAGAACTCCAGATTAGTTTGACATCACAACATAGACCTTGCTGGATATGGGAACAGAACCCACACCGGTGCCAATACATTTCATGTAAAATGGGACTGGATCTGGATACCACTTCTTTTTTAAAGTATTTGACCAAAAGTTAGTCTCTCTCTTAACCTTACGATATACTCTTTATGTGGTATACTCTTTTCTTTTCCATTGTGGTCATTTATTCGGTTTGTAGATTTTGTAAGTTTTAATATGCACAAGGAAAAATATATAAAGCTGTCTAGATCTGCATATGTTGCCATAGCGATCACAAAAAATCTTCTTTGCCATCACTTTAATTGCCAGGTCAAAAAAGTCCATGAAAAGAAAAGTCCTCATTTACGAAGGCCACAGCTTTTATGGTGCTGGAACTGTATCATGTTTGGAAGAAAATTATGTCAAAACTATTATATTTTTTTATCTCAAATAAAAATGTATGATTTTTAGATCATCGGCCATAATTGAACCTATGCATGTTCCACTGTTTGTACAATGTATTCATTTCAAATTATGTCAAAATCTTACGAAAAGTGGATTCAACCCCAATCTTTCATATCCCAAAATGTCAGCTGTCCATGCTGCTATAGGCTCTGAAAAGAACATAAGCTGAATGTAATGTAAATAGCATGTTGTTGAAAACATCCACATTTCTCCTTTTGTACTTTGACATGTAACGTTTTATAAGAGTTTATTTTTGCCGTAGGAATTGTCATGTTTGTTAATGTTGCCATGTGTTTGTTGTTTATGTCCTCGATGGAGATGGAGCAGAGCCATATCTGTACAACACTGAGCATTCACATAAATATAGAAATATAAAAGGCCAAAGTCATTCTAAACTTTCAGGACGGACTGAAGTGAAGGCATTGGCCCTTTCACAATGCTCTGTTAAATCGCAGCCAAGTCTAGATCACGTTTATGTGGAAGTTGCGGCAGGTGTCACCAAATTACAGTTGTGTTCACTAGTTTACATGAAGCTGCCAAACTTCACAGCAGACGAATCTGAGGAGAGTTGGATCGTGTTTGAAGATGAACAAATCAAACAACTTGTTTTCTCCATTTCTCTGTGGAAATGATCAGGTTCCTGCTTAACTGGACGTTCTCACGCGGCTGTTGTCAAAGGGGACGTGTGGAATAAGGTGAATTGGATGTGGTTACACACAGGCCAAAGACATGTACTGATGTCACCGCAGCAGCAGAGCCTCTGCTGCAGACAGGGTTCAGCCTGTTTACTGTTGGGACCACACTCTGTCCAGGCCTAATCCAAAAAGCCTCATAATGCCCCCTCTCCCCTGTCCTGTTCAGAGGACACGCTGCGTCGTCGGCTAAACCTAATTAGACAATGACAGCTGAGAAAGCCTTTGTGCCAAAAAGACTCAAATGAGATTAGATTGTACAATCAGGACCTAATCTGCCATAACTCTGTATTGAGCTGAATGGTGACAATATCAGACTTTATCTAATGCTAAAACTCCCTGCTCTTCATTCATTCATGTTATTAACACAATGAGAAATGCATTGACCAGTGGCACATTGTTTTTGTCACCATTTCCTTATATGATGGTTTTTCCTCTGCTGCCAAAGAATAAAACATGGCGGGTGCCATAGTAACACTGTTGATGTTCCACCTCACGCTCTGTAAGTGTGTGATGTTTGTGAAACTCTAATGTCTCTGATGTGCTCTGTGGTCAGATGTTTCAAATACAGATGCTGGACTTTGCCCGTACTCTGTCCTCAGGTATTTACATACTATAGGAAAATAAATAAATATGAGTAACAGACTTGTGTCCATTCTTTCTGTTCCAAATGTGAAATATTGCTTTCATAGTTCCATTTCATTTCATTGACACATTTCCACAGTGATCTTTTAAATACATGTTTTATCTGGACTAGATACATTTTACTACTATTACACTAAAGAAAGAGTGAGGAGCATTGTATCTTGTTACTACAGAAAAAGTAAAGTGTTTTCTTCATTTGACCCATCCTCCCATAACACGAAGGCCTCTGTCAGGAGCAGGGAACCACATCACTGCACACGCTGCACTGATCCGCCTGTCAATCTCACGCTCCATCCTTCCCTCACTTGTGATCAAGAAATACTGGAACTCCTCCACTTTAGGAAGGACCTGCACCTTTTTCTGGTCGAGCACCATGGCCTCGGCTTTGGAGGTGCTGATTTCTCTTGTTAGCTGGTTTGTTGGAGCTAACAGGACAACGTTGTCTGCAACCAGCAGATATGAAATCATGTGCTCCCCAAACCAGACTCTGTCTGGTCCATGTGGTCCCCAAACTAGGCAAATCTTGTTTTAAGCAGTCAGAATGTAATAAAATTAAGGCACATTTTCCCAAATTGGAGACATTTTTTACCTATCACTTTGTGCAGTGTAGCCTGACTGGCCTTGCCTCACTTAGACGCTTTTAGACCTCCGCCCGCTTGTTGTCGACCTGAAGGAGCAATGGGTCAGAGCGACCCAAAAGCATAACATGATGTACAGAACAGAACCCAAACTGTGGTGAGTCTTTTACACTGCTCATTCACATCTCAGCATGGCCCATACAGATTATAGTTTATAAAAAACTAATAATACAAATTCCAAATAGTTGATCATCACCTCCCTCGTTCAAGTGAAGGGGACAGAATGTTTTGTCCTGAAGGCTCCATCACAAGAGCGTCTGGCTCTAAGGTCAAGAGCCGCTGTCGCCATAGTAACAGCTGTTGAGCGTCTCCTGGTAGCAGCGTGAGTGATGTGGAGGAAAGCGTGTTATTTTCTCTCACTATAATGTTAGAATGTCACTGCTGCATCTGCTGCAGCGCGGCCCCCTGTGGAGCAGGACCAGAATAGCACAGGTGCTTTTTCATTCAAATGTCGACATCAGGATGATGCTGCTGGTCCAGAAGTCTTAGTGTTTCTTTGATTTCAAACGTTTGCACAAAGGACAGAGAGCGATGAATAGGGTACAAAATATATAAAACACAACAGTTTGAAAAGGGGTCAGACGAAGAAGACGCTTTTCTGATTCCAGGTCCTTTCACTCATTCAATGCCACAGAACACAGACCAGAGAGTGTTAGGACACAGGCACCAACACTCTCTGACCCGACACCTCTCCCCATCACTCTTTCTCCTACACATACTTCATTATTACTTTTGTAAAAATGTTTTTAAATGGAATCCTAAACATGGAGTAACTCCTCGCTCTGAGACACACATTTTTCTTTTTTGTCACATGTTCAAAAACAACAGAACTCAAAATTCAGGAATACAAAAATCAAACGATTTAATACAAAAATGAAAGTTCAAGGTGAAATACTTATCAAAACAGAATACAGGAAAATATTGATACAGAGAGACACAGGTGAACACAAAAACTAAAACAAAACAAGATAACGTATGCCAAAATACAAGACCAAATATCCAAACTCCACACCTTGACATTTGGGTTTCCTCTCAGTCCACTGCTGACACGAGAGGAAAAACACACACTCTACAATTCAATTCAATGTGTACAGCCCTAAATCACAGCAAGTGTTATCTCGGAGGACTTTACAAAACCGTTGAATTCGCCAACACAGATCAGTGAATCAAACAGTTCTAACACCAGAAATGCAATGATGAAAACACATTGGTATTGGTCCATAAGGGGCAGATGACCGATGTCCATAAATGTTGTGTCCTGGATCATCACCACTGTCCTTATGTGTGTATAGATCCAGGACTACAACACATCACCAAAATCACCAACAATTTCAAAACCATGATATGTCACAGTGTGGGCATCCTGTTAATTCCTGATATATATTTTGTAGATATATATATTTTTATTAATTTTATTTGATCAAGGACAATGCACAACTGACATTAGTCTTTGACAGAAAAGAAGCCATGTACCAGATTTTAGCATGAGAGGCTAAATTCCACCCACAGTCCCCGGACAGTTTCATGTTACACTTATATTTATACTTGTGTTGTTATTATTTTATTTTATTTATGTATTTATTGGATCGGGAAAACAAACATTAATGAACAATCATATACAAGTTGTACACAAATTGTAAATGTGCCAAATTGTAGCAACACTGCTGATTTACATCTGTATAGTCTTGAGGTAGGTCACACAAAAATAAGAATACAAAAGATGATATACAATTGTTCAAGTTACTGATTTACCTTAAAATGGTGTTTTAGTTGAGTTTTACTTCATGTCTGTCTTGTGGATCATTTGTCTCGCCCTGATGTGTTACTCCTGTCTCTCCCTGTGTGTGTATTTAGACCCTGTTTTCCTGTCCTCTTGTTGTCGGTCCATTGAACATTTTCCCCCATGCCTTGTTCCCAGTTTCAGTTTTTACCTACTTCCTTGTTTATCCGTGACATGATGACTTACAAATGTTTTTTGTTTTTTTTTCCCTAGACAATAAGCTGCCCCCCTCCACATTATTTCAGTACCAGCTCAGGACAGGGTGTTGTGCTGCAGAAAGAGACAGAAAATGTATTATTATTATTATTATTATCATTATATCTCCAGTCATTTCGTGTTTGTCCTGTGGTTCCAGCAGCGGGCCAGCTTCAGTCATAGGAGGAGGTATATTTGGCTCATCCAGAGGGAGCATGGGATTAGTTTTCTCCAGGGCCAAAAGGGCAACACACAGCTGGAGTCGGAGGAGGCGACTGAGGCTCCATCACTGCAGGCTCTTCTTTACATAAGGTCAGACTTGATGTGGAAATATATCTACTTTCATTCTTTACAATGTATAAGCTCAAAATGAAGTGGGGACAAAAGAACACCACTATTTTGTTTTCCGTTTTTGTTAAACATTTCACATTGACACAGTATAGTTTGTCTTACATATGCGCCTGTGTGATATTTTTGTACCGAATTAAAAGTAACTTTTATAGTTGATAGTGCCATCGTATTATTATCATTACTGTTGAACAAATTACTTTATAATTGTCATGTAATTAATGACTGGTTACTGGGGGTGAAATTAATGATTTATAATACAATATCACTTAAAAGCAGTACAATGTACACACAAAAAACTCATTCAGCGATTATGATATTTACCTGTTTTTGTGTGAAATGAATTGTGAACACTGAGAACAAAGAAAATGCACACAAAAAACTATGTATTTATTTGTAGAATTTCTAACAGGAAAATATTATTGTAACTAGTTGCTTCCAACACTGGGGATTCTTAGTCCCACCCCGTTTGAAAGAACCATAGACTTTTTGCTTGTATTTTTAGCTTCTCTCTCCTGTGATTTTATTTTCCCCCAGACACAGCGTTGACTCTCTGTGAACACTGACCACAGCTCCCTCTAGTGGTCCAACCCACGCACTGTTCTATGGCAGAGGAGCAAGCGCACACGCTACAGGTGGGTTCTTTGTAGTCTTGAGGTGAAATTTAAAGCTGGGGCACCTAACTTTTCCCCGTCAATCACGCATTTCGCTTGTCCTAATAGAAAGAGAGTCTTGTAAAAGTAAAATGCTGCAAATTAGTCAGAGAACAACATCTTATTTGAGTGGTTGTTGGGATTGGAGCCTATTTTTCAAATGTTTTATCTTTTTTGTTTTTTATCGTGTTTATTGTGAATCAATTATTCACTTTGCATACATTTGAAGTAAAATTCATACTTACAAAATATCTTAGCTACATGTGCCCTATGAGTCACTATTTGAGGGTTTCGGCTGAGAGCTGATTGGTCTCTGCTTCAGGCCAAAAATACATTTAGAAGTTTAAAATACATAGAATCAAGCAGTTTTGAGAGCGAGGAACTCACTATCAGATGGATTTTAGTGTCAATCATGGTTTTGTGGTTTGAAAGTTACGTAACCAAGCTTTATATAATTATTACCACTACAGCATTACAGATAGAACAGGCAATGAATCAAAGAGCAAAAAGGCATTCACTCCAAATATTTATTTTAAAAACATTTTCAAAGATGCGCTTTACAAGAAACACTCGCAATATCAACTTCACATTCAGAAAATTCCACAATTCGAGAAAAAGTAGTAATCTGTGACGATATCCTGTATAAATTATAAACTATAAAAAGCAAAAAATCCATTAGTTTTAAATCAAGGTAAAAAAAAAAAAAAAAAAGACAACGTTCAGTTATTGTCAAAGTCGACCCAAATAAAAGTGAATATTTTGTGCTTGTTTAAAAGTATAACCATAGTAGCCGCTGCGGTTCACAGAAGCGACACTGAAGTACTAATAATATTGGTGTACTGCAGACAATACCAACTGTAATCCAAACATAGGCACGTGTTCAAAGAAAGAAATATCACAAGCACAATTGTACTGCCAAAAATACTACATTTACTAGACACTGAAGTCATATTAATCTGGATTATGGCATATTTTTAGTAAGAAATCTTAAATCTTAATTATTGCTAAAGTCAAAAAGTTCAACTAATCAAAACAACTCAAGTCCAGGTTAATGTTTTAGTTTCCCAAAATGACATCGCCCTGTGCGGAAAGAATTCAGAGCGAGGAGTTCACGCTGACGGTCAAATCATGTGAGATTAAAAAAAAAAAGCGTCTCATCCAGTCTGGGAATATGTTTTGCACCAGAAACTGCTCATTCATTATCGTTTTATTTTAACTTAAATGCTCCTGTAAAAGTATAGCTGTATTTTTGACGAGACCAGGGATCCTCAACTGGAACAGACCGGCCTTTAAAATACTAATATTTTCACACCTTGATTTATAAGTGGTGAATAATAATCAATAATAATAATCAAGAAAATGGCTAAAAACAAATCTAGAAATGAATACATGTCTAGTATATATAAGTTAATATTATATAACACCTTTTCTGCGTATTAGTATTTATTACCTTCTTAAATCAATGGGCATCCACTGTATTTCTTTCCATATATGGCCTTTTTTGCAGTGTAGTAGTGGCATACTCTAAAAACTCAAAATGGGCCCTGATCCACCAGTTGAGAACCACTGATTTTGACAAAAGCCTCAAAAATGTAACAGCTTGTTTAAAGATTTGGAAACGGCGATTTGAAGAGAGTAAATGTTGCTATTTTTTAAAGTTGTAAATACGATCAAATAAACTTTTCAATTATGAGAATGGATAATAAAAAAATCCTCTTTTAGTAAAAAAAAACTTAGAATAAAGTAGAGTAAAACAATTGGAAAAAGTTGAAATTTTTGTTTATAATTCACCAATTTGGAGGAAAACCTGAAAAGACTGTTATTATTATTATGTCCACCTTTTATTTCATGTGTTATATTATGACGAACAAAGGATCTCTATCTTAGTCTATATTGGTGCATATTCCAGTTTCTCTCAAAAATGCAATTTGAACAGAATCCAATCTCCATGACAATGCTCTTCAAGCAAAACGCAATGACATATTTTATAAAAGACTGTTCAGCCCTAATATATAGTCAAATCTAAAATAAATGTGACCAGGAAAGGAAACAAGGAGATAGGATCGCTACGGTGAGAAGTGACACGTCTCGAAAGCAAGTATTTTAAGAATGGAACTATCATGACGTTCCATCGGTTGATTTAAAGTCTATTGTGGAAAAGTCGCTGGTTTTAACGGTAAAGAGAATTCAAGTATCTTTAGAGATCCACATGTTTTGTTTATACTAGTCATTGTTCTCAATCCACTCCATCAGTGTGACATTCGGTTCGGACTGCGTCCCAGGCTGGTGTCAAACGTGTCTCTGTTTGGAATCCAGAGGTTCCAGAGGCCTCCCCACATCAGGAGTTATCAGACGGGACGTGCTCCTCAAAGCCCTCGCTCTCCCGCACCAGCGCCCTCTCCAGGATGACGCGGCCCTCCTTGTAGCGCTGGCTGTCCTCGGTGGCGAACTCGTAGATCCAGCCCAGTTTGCTGTTGCAGTTCTTACAGCTGACGTCCCGCACCATGTGTCGTCCCGTGAGCATGACGCGGTCCTGCACCTCGCTGTACTGTAAGTTCACCACCTGCACACAACACACGCTACGTTCGACACGACAAAGGAGCAACACTCTGGGGCAGGGGGTCTTTTCCGCCGGGGTCCACATTGGGATATCGGTACATTGTGGAGGGCCAGACTCGTTTTCATTTGATTTTATATGGAACATATTTGCATGTAAGTTACTTCTGTTACTTTTGCTTTAGCTGATCTTTTGCACCTGCAGATATGTTTTTGTATTATTTTAAAATATGAAACAATTTAGAGGATTTTTTTTCATTCATAATAGATTATATTTTTGTCCTTTCTTGGATTGAACCAAAGCTGGACTATAGCTAAAGAAAGCTCCGTATTGTGGACGGATGCATGTTTTAAATGAATTATTATGAGGTGTAACCATAGACTGTATATATTAATGGACAGAGTCACGCCTATCTCCGCCGTTCTAACTAATGGGCCAAAAAACAAGAAAATTGTGAAAAAACGCATCTGCGCATGCGTCAGCCGCGCAACTCCATTCATTTGAACGAGAGACTTCAAAAATTCACAGCAAGTAAACTAGAGTGGACCAAAAAAATCACCCCCCTCAGCATTGACACAGCTCCCCCCTCACAGCTTTGGGCCAAGAGCCAACTTTTGGACCATCCTGTAAAGACGTTTTCCAGAGTTCTGCCAATGCTATATGTTAGCATTGGCTAATTCTTCTTCTGGGTCCACCCCCATCGGCCCGGGGTGGTATTGCAGCATGTCAGCGCACGTCATTTTGGCCACTTTTGAGCTGGGACCCTCCCCCACTGGGTGTAACATGCCATTATAGGCCTCACGAAGTTGCAAACCTGCATTAGATTGCCATTTAAACAGGGGGAGACAGTATGAAGTTTGTGGTTGGTAAAATTTCAGAGTGCCATCTAGAAACGTAAATTGGGCCGCATATGGCCCCCGGGCTGCACTTTGCCCAGGTCTGATCTAGGGAAATTCAGACATCATATATCTGAACTCTGAACATCGTAAAGCGCTTTGGGTGACCTTGGTCTGTAAACATGCACTTTATAAATGAAGATTACTTACTTATACTTACTAACTTATCATCTATAAACATTTTTTAACATTAGTCGTCTGCCTCTTATGGACCAATGACAGCGTGTTTGAATTGTTGAATTTCCTGTGTTTGAAACGTTTGATTCTCTGATCTGTGTTGGCGAATCAACAACAAAGTCCTCTGAGATAACTGCTATTGTAATTTAGAGCTATGCACAAATAAATTGAATTAAATAAGACAAGGCTGAGTGGTGAGGATGAAGGCTGTAGTATAAGTCCCAGTGCATCTCCAGATTGCATAACTACAGAGACCCCACGTGTAACTACGGGGGACACCTGGAGCCGAGAAAGTATCTTTATTTATATCGCGCATGTGACAATCCAAAGCACTTTACAATGTTGGTGCTTAACTGGTCATGACGCGGCAGAGTGAAGGGTCATACCTTATTGAAGAGAAAGGCTCTGCCTGTGGCCCCCGTGAAGCGCGTGGAGATGAGCTCCGAGCGGTTGGTCAGGATTGTGTCACAGTTGGCGCAGGAAAACAAGCGCGTGCCTCCGATGTGGTCCAAGAAGATCCGGCCCATGGTCACACTGGCACGGACACAGTACATAACGTGGGTAAAGGAAACTAATGTCGTGGGTTACAGTGCGTTACTTTACAATTATATTCCAAATTTAGTTTAATTTATGTTGTAATTATATTTCAGATGGAGGGCAGGCGCCAGTACAACTCTATGGGGAAAAAGCAAGTTATATTCATAAAGCCATACATATCTGAATGTCCTTTCTACTGGCCAACATCATGTGTAGGTTTTTTGAATGCTGTCAGTGTCGCACATAGCGAGACGAGGCAAGTTTATTTGTATAGAATAGTTCATAGTACAAGGCAACTCAAAGTGCTAAACAAATCAAGATAGAAACATAACATCCTATAAGGCATTAAAATAAAAATAAACAATCAATCACAGTAAATTAAAAATAGTGAAGATACAATCTTTCAATTGAATGCACTGTTAATCAGAAACTTTTAATCCTGGATTTGAACATTGAAAGAGAAGAACCCTGTCTCACATTTTCAGGAACCGTTCCAGATTTTAGCTGCATACATCTGGAACGCTACATCCCATGTTAAACTATCTTTTGAAACAATAACTCCAGCCCATATTTAATGCCATGGCCAGCCAGCATATCAATCATATACAAAAGAAAAAAATCAACCAAAGAAAACATTTGAAGATGAAGAGGACTTGTTCCTGTCGTGACAACCCCTGGCGGTAGGGGGCAGAGTTCATAAAAGCGTTGAACCCTGAATAAATCACTGAACAATATCACAGCAATATAGTGTAGTTGGTACACGAACACATGTGTATTGCTCGATTCCCAAAGATATATAAATTAAAAGGCTTGTTGGTAGCTTTATATGATCTGCGCTTCCAGCTACGCGGCAGATTGACAGCCGTTTTTTTTCCCCAATGCAGTCTTGCCAGGATAGTGTTGTCAAACCTTTCCCAAAGCATTAACTAAAATAAAATTAGCATTCCCAATCCTCATCTAATGTATAAGCCTAGAAATAATTAGTTTGAAATATAAGATAATATCAAGTTTGAACATTAGCCATAATCCAAAGTGATACGTGCGCAGGAAAAAAAATTAGGTAAAAACGCAACCAATCTATGTACCAAGCTAGGAAAGGAGAAACGCAGCTGAATGATTGAAAACGGTGGATCTACTCGTATCTAAATCAACACAGATTTAGAAGAATACAGTGTGTACACGTGGTAGTAACAACTGTCATGGTTGTAGCCGCAGTTACCTCTTGTTAGTATGAAGAGTGCTGCTCCGTGGCTTTGTTGTCGTGCTCAGCTGTTCTCTGCGCTGCCCACAGACAACTTCCGGCTCGTCACGTCCACCGCGCGGCTGCGTCCGAATCAGCACTCACAACAACTTACAACTCCTTCCAAATCCTTGCTTGAGCTTTGAAGTGGACCTTTTACATTTTACTGATGTATTTAGTGCCACTTAAGTTAAATTGTATGTGTTCTGTCCTCACTAGTTGTTGAGAGCTGTTTAGCTAAGACAGACAGCAAACAGATGAGTTAGTTAGTTTGAGAAATTGTTTACCTGACATTTAAACTTCTTTTCATTTACTCATTTACAGTAAAACTATAACACACAAAAAATACAGTAATTAGAATAAGTGAATTGCAACATCTATTTGTGCCGGAACGAACAGTTGTTACTGTCTAATGACATTTACACAGAGTTGGTAAGAACAGATAAGGCATTATGACAGTATTACAGAGTTATTGTTATTCAAATGACTATTATTTACAGGTCAAATCTGAAATTTTTACAGTTTCAGTCAAAACTAATTTTGCTTATAAGAAACAAATCAAAGTAGATATTAGGGCACGGTCACATAGGTTTACCACAATCAAAATGGGCCAAGTGGCTCGGATTGTCGCCACAGGGGTGTGAAGACGGCCCGTGGTCTGTTTCCGGGTACACCCCACCGGCTACAAGTGAGTGACATGGCTTTATTAAGCTGAGATACAAGTCAGATCTGTGGAGAGGTGTGAAGACTCATCTATAATTGAAGATAAGGGAGTTTACGAATCCAATAATGAGTAAAGTTTGAATGGGGACACTTTTAAATAAGAAACATATTGTCACTAAAAAAACAAACAGTGTCCATATATTTGGGCACAAAACTAGCAATCTAAAGTAAAAAAAAAATCTAGTCTTAATAATGTATATTATCTAATCCCCTGGGGAATAAATACAAAAATAATTTTAGGGAGGTAGCAAGTATTGTCAAAAAAAGACGGACATGACTCAGAATTTGATACAGGAACAAGACCAAGATTTTCCAGAGTTTAAAATAAAACAATATTTAATTCTCTTTACAATTAAATATGAATACAAAATTCTCTGAGCTCTTATTTCCCTAACCAGCCCTATGAGCTGAGCCATTTTAACTATCCCTCCAGGCCTGAAAATGTTCAGAAAGGACAACCAGGCTCTCTCTGTCCTCTCTCTGTCCCTGCTCAGACTGCTCTTCAAAATGTCCTACCAACATTTTATGAAAATGTATGTAAGGGGGCGGAAGTGCCTCCTAATACGTCGTCCGGCTCCTTATTGGTCTCATGGGTCCGGCCTGGTCTGGTTTTAGGTCTCATCCCTTGTCCCAATGAGAGAGGCATGCTCTCTTCCTAAAAAAGATACTTTCACAGAAACAAACCTTGTCCTTGCATCTTCCCTGAATTCACTTGACCCGGTTTTTTTTGCAAACAGATAATGATTAACATAAAACACTTTATAAAAACACTTGATGATTAATCATTGGTATAAAACATTTCATGGTTAAATGTAGAATTTCATATTTTCATAGATACATGGATGACAGATAATGTGTATCAACATGTGCTGCATTTCCGAAAACACAAGTTAATGAACGAATCGCTAAAGACGAAGTGATTATTTAACCCTTTGATGCACAACATGGGTCAAAAGTGATCCACATCCATTTTCTATGTAATTTCATGTATGGCTGAGTGTTGCTTTGCTACACCTTTGTAATATATAAATATAATCATTTATCACTCCATGTATACAGTAAATAACATGTTTTTATTCATCACAAATAATATTTTTTATGTTTCCTTTCTTACTCTATGAACAAGCTCAACATTTGTATTCCTACATCAACTTCACACACATGCATTCACTGTGGCCTTAGGTAAGAAGCTTTGAATTTGAGCACGTTTGCTAAGGAATATTTTGACAGCGGACAAGTCAATTGCAGACGACAGTTCATCTATGGTGACTGTCACCATAGATGAACTGCTGGTGCCATTCCAGGGCAGGTGCAAGTTGAAGCAGTACGTATATGCCCAGCAAGCCTGTGAAGTACGGGATAAAAATCTTCTGGATGTGCGATTCAAGACTCCATTATGCAATAGATGAAATTGTCTACATAGGAAGACAGCCAGGAGAGGAGGGGCAGAAGAACCTTGGGAAGAACATTGTTCTAAAATTGTGAAGCGGAATCAGACAGACAGGTGATTATAGAAAATGAAAATTAAAGCTTTACATAATGTAAATGTTATAGCACACTGCTTTCCACACCCTCTCGGTCGCAACATCACAATGGACAACTTCTCCACCAGTGTCCCTCTGGCTGAGAAGCTCCTCGAGAAGAACCTGACTATTGTGGGCCTTCGCCAGAACAAGCCGGACATACCACCTATATAAAGCCATCCAAGTCAAGGGTGATTCATAGCCAATAATTCAGATTCAATGGCAACATGACCATGTGCAGAAGAAGGCAAAAGCTGTTATCCTCCTGAGGACCTTGCATGATAACAGAGCAGGATGAAGACAGCCAGAAGAAGAAATCAGAGGTGATACAGTACTACAACAGATGGAGAACAACCACTCTCAATGCTTACATCAACTTCACTGCAGGACACACTGGTTACATGGTTGAGGTCACCAATGCATGCCGGCTATTCATCTAGGAGCTGGGCAAAGAGCTTGTCGCATGGAAGACATACCCACACTCCAAAAGCATATCATAGAGGCAATGGGAAGATGTGGGATCGAAAAACATCCCAGTGCAAGAGGCCGGTGTGCTATGAGCACAATTGTGTAGTGGTCACTTTTTCTATATTTGAGGAATCTTGAGAACTGAATTGACAAGTTGTGCTCTACCGGTGTGATCAGTTATATTTTATTTTATTTTGGTCAATGCACCAGTTTGTTTTTTTTCGTCGGATGTAATTGTATGTGTTCCAAAATGGAAAAAAAAAACAAGTTTCAAAGGTTAAATGTATGATTGTTTGGCCCAAATCCCATCTAAAATAGATATTTGAAGCAAAATTGTATTATTACATGCCTTCATTTTTGTTTTAAATCGCAATTGAATGAATGGGTCATATTTGACCCATGTGTGTAATCTTGATATAGTTATACAAAAATGAATTTTGTTCAAAAAGTAAGGCAGGAAAAATATAAATACTGATGTTTGGTAATCAAGGACAAGATATTTAAAGAATACTTGGATTATTGAATTATAAAATGCATTGCATTGATTTAAAAAAATGAAACAGCAAAGACATGCTCAGCCTGCATGAGATAAACCTGGGAAATGAATGTTCAAGGGCATTTTAAAGACCCTGTTGTGAAAACAACACAATCTATGGCGTCTCATGTGGTCAAGCCTGGAAAAGAGATTGGAGGATTGTGTGCAAATGTCTTTTAGGTTTGAAATGAATTATGATTTTCACAATCGATTAGTTGGCCGATTATTCTTTTGCTTAATTGATAAGTTGTTTAGATCTTGAAAGGTCAGGATGAAAAAAACAAATAATGAATTACTGAATTGGTTTAAAACTATTTAACCCTTTGATGCACAACATGGGTCTAAAATGACCCGCATTCATTTCCCAGGTTATCTCATGCAGGCTGAGCATGTCTTTGCTGTTTCTTTTTAAATCAATGCATTTTATAATTCAATAATCCAAGTATTCTTTAAATATCTTGTCCTTGATTACCAAACATCAGTATTTATATTTTTCCTGCCTTACTTTTTGAACAAAATTCATTTTTGTATAACTATATCAAGATTACACACATGGGTCAAATATGACCCATTCATTCAATTGCGATTTAAAACAAAAATGAATTTTGTTCAAAAAGTAAGGCAGGAAAAATATAAATACTGATGTTTGGTAATCAAGGACAAGATATTTAAAGAATACTTGGATTATTGAATTATAAAATGCATTGATTTAAAAAGAAACAGCAAAGACATGCTCAGCCTGCATGAGATAACCTGGGAAATGAATGCGGGTCATTTTAGACCCATGTTTGTGCATCAAAGGGTTAAATAGTTTTAAACCAATTCAGTAATTCATTATTTGTTTTTTTCATCCTGACCTTTCAAGATCTAAACAACTTATCAATTAAGCAAAAGAATAATCGGCCAACTAATCGATTGTGAAAATCATAATTCATTTCAAACCTAAAAGACATTTGCACACTATCCTCCAATCTCTTTTCCAGGCTTGACCACATGAGACGCCATAGATTGTGTTGTTTTCTTGACTCTCAAGAAAACAACACAATCTATGGCGTCTCATGTGGTCAAGCCTGGAAAAGAGATTGGAGGATTGTGTGCAAATGTCTTTTAGGTTTGAAATGAATTATGATTTTCACAATCGATTAGTTGGCCGATTATTCTTTTGCTTAATTGATAAGTTGTTTAGATCTTGAAAGGTCAGGATGAAAAAAACAAATAATGAATTACTGAATTGGTTTAAAACGATTTAACCCTTTGATGCACAACATGGGTCTAAAATGACCCGCATTCATTTCCCAGGTTATCTCATGCAGGCTCATTTTTGCTGTTTCTTTTTAAATCGCAATTGAATAATCCAAGATGGGTCATATATTGACCCATGTGTGTAATCTTGATTTAAATCGCAATTGAGTTATACAAAAATGATATTTTGTTCAAAAAGTAAGGCAGGAAAAAAATAAAATACTGATGTTTGGTAATCAAGGACAAGATATTTAAAGAATACTTGGATTATTGAATTATAAAATGCATTGATTTAAAAAGAAACAGCAAAGACATGCTCAGCCTGCATGAGATAACCTGGGAAATGAATGCGGGTCATTTTAGACCCATGTTGTGCATCAAAGGGTTAAATAGTTTTAAACCAATTCAGTAATTCATTATTTGTTTTTTTCATCCTGACCTTTCAAGATCTAAACAACTTATCAATTAAGCAAAAGAATAATCGGCCAACTAATCGATTGTGAAAATCATAATTCATTTCAAACCTAAAAGACATTTGCACACAATCCTCCAATCTCTTTTCCAGGCTTGACCACATGAGACGCCATAGATTGTGTTGTTTTCTTGAGAGTCAAGAAAGTAAAACGTCTTTATGTCACATGCCTCTTGAACAATAAGATATTACCAAAGTTTAGTTTTATAAGGACCAACGCAGCGCAAACCACATCATTCTTATCAAAGGTCATTATTCTGTCACAATCTGTCGTATCAGTTCTGGGATCTGGCTGGGGTCAAGTTTATCTGTGGCACAGGACCAAGGACAAACTCATAAAGTCCTCCTGCTGACAGTAACCTATCAGCGCTCATGGAAACACACAGCACCACATGCAAACCCAGTGCCAGGTACAGTGCCTTGCGAAAGTATTCGGCCCCCTTGAACCTTTCAACATTTTGCCATATTTCAGTCTTCAAACATAAAGATATTGAATTTTAATTTTTTGTCATGAATCAACAACAAGTGGGACACAATCGTGAAGTGGAACAAAATTTATTGGATAATTTAAACTTTTTTAACAAATAAAAAACTGAAAAGTGGGGCGTGCAATATTATTCGGCCCCTTTACTTTCAGTGCAGCAAACTCAGTCCAGAAGTTCAGTGAGGATCTTTGAATGATCCAATGTTGTCCTAAATGACTGATGATGATAAATAGAATGCACCTGTGTGTAATCAAGTCTCCGTATAAATGCACCTGCTCTTTGATAGTCTCAGGGTTCTGTTTAAAGCGCAGAGAGAACCATGAAGACAAAGGAACACACCAGGCAGGTCCGAGATACTGTTGTGGAGAAGTTTAAAGCCGGATTTGGATACAAAAAGATTTCCCAAGCTTTAAACATCTCAAGGAGCACTGTGCAAGCAATTATATTGAAATGGAAGGAGTATCAGACCACTGCAAATCTACCAAGACCCGGCCGTCTCTCCAAACTTTCATCTCAAACAAGGAGAAGACTGATCAGAGATGCAGCCAAGAGGCCCATGATCACTCTGGATGAACTGCAGATAACTACAGCTGAGGTGGGAGAGTCTGTCCATAGGACAACAATCAGTCGTGCACTGCACAAATCTGCCTTTATGGAAGAGTGGCCATTTCTCAGATATCCAATAAAAGTATCTTAAAGTTTGCCACAAGTCACCTGGGAGACACACCAAACATGTGGAAGAAGGTGCTCTGGTCAGATGAAACCAAAATCAAACTTTTTGGCCACAATGCAAAACGATATGTTTGGCTTAAAAGCAACACAGCTCATCACCCTGAACACACCATCCCCAGCTCAGCTGTAGTTATCTGCAGTTCATCCAGAGTGATCATGGTCTTGGTAGATTTGCAGTGGTCTGATACTCCTTCCATTTCAATATAATTGCTTGCACAGTGCTCCTTGCGATGTTTAAAGCTTGGGAAATCTTTTTGTATCCAAATCCGGCTTTAAACTTCTCATCAACAGTATCTCGGACCTGCCTGGTGTGTTCCTTTGTCTTCATGGTTCTCTCTGCTGCTTTAAACAGAACCCTGAGACTATCAAAGAGCAGGTGCATTTATACGGAGACTTGATTACACACAGGTGCATTCTATTTATCATCATCAGTCATTTAGGACAACATTGGATCATTCAAAGATCCTCACTGAACTTCTTGAGTGTGTTTGCTGCACTGAAAGTAAAGGGGGCCGAATAATATTGCACGCCCCACTTTTCAGTTTTTTATTTGTTAAAAAAGTTTAACTTTTTTAAATGTCTTCAATTTGGCTTTGATTCAGTTATTTTTGGACAATTATTTTAACTTGATTGATTTGATATAACTTTATTATTCCGGATGAAAAGTCTGTGCCAGAGAGAGCTTTAAAATCACATACAGTAAGTGCAGAGAGAGCTTTTAAATCCACACTCCAGTAAGTGCATAAATACATTGACAATATGAATCGGTAAAGTCAGATATTCGGATTGTGTGAAACCCAGGATCTATATTAAGGAGAGATTTAGAAAACTATTTTTGATATCAACATTTATCTGTTTTAGTGGATACAATAAAACAGACTGTCATGTTAAAATCTTTTCTGCAGTCGCTTAAATGTAGTATTGATAATGGGGAGGGCACCAATCGGCTTTTCCTCCTTTTTGAGGTTTGTTTCTTGAATTATATACAGTATGTACCTGTAAAACCGCCCAAATAAAACTACTACTACTACTACTTTGATGTTTCAGATTTATGCAGCTAAAATACTAAAAAGTCAGCTAATAAGTCTTACTGAAAATGTGAGACAGGCTTCTATTCTGACTGTTGTTCAGACCCGGGTCAAAACAGAATAAAACTGAAGGATTGTATCTTCGCTCTATTTAATAACTATGATTATTTATGATTTGAATGCCTGGTGTGACTTTAAGGTTTCTTTTCTTGTTTTGATAAGTACTTTGAGTTGCCTTGTGTCCAAACTGTGCTTTATAATAAAGTTACCAGGCCAAGCTAAGCCACTTTGGCACAAATTAGAGAAAATACAATTCAGTATTCAGATTGTCAGATTACAAAAGGGGATTTCAGTCATATTTGAATTTAATGATGATGGTATTTTCCACCTGCAAAGGGTCAGTGAGGGGCTGGTGCTATGAGACTTGGGTGGCATCTCTGATTGCCACCCCCCTGACCCAGAAATGGATTAAAGGGTAGAAGATGGATGGATGGATGGATGTAATTTTCCGTTAGATATTGCTAAGAGTCAATATTGAAATTTGATTAATCATTTACCATCAAACTTTACAGCAGACAAAAGCACAATACAGTGGGCCAGACAAGGCCAAGCTATAGATCTGGTCTGTGGAAAGGCGGGTCTATACTCAATGTATTATTTATTTTTAAAGATTTTAAAAATTTTACACATATTTAATACCAGTGTGGACGATGTATGCACAGTATTGTAGCTTCAAAAAGAGCTCTTCTTTGTGTTTGACAATAGGCCTTCTGTCTTCAGTTTCATAACAGTTATTTAGTGCCATGACTTTTAACACATTGTTAAAATAAATCCTCAATTGATAGAGATGTCTTTGAACGATGTATGTGCAGTTTTGAGTCATGCCATGTATCTCACAGGAGGAGAGCTTCCAGACCTGGACAGACAGGAGAGATGGCCCCAGAGCTCACAGGTACTCTCACATGGTACTCTCAGAGGTACTCTCAGAGGTACTCCTGTGTACTGTGTGCAGAAGAATGTAGTGTACTGCTGATGATGAATATAAAGCAGTTTGCTTTGTTTTCAGACAGACCACCTTTATCAGTCAGTGCTGTGTCCTCCGCCGCCTGCCGTCTCTGCCCCGTCACTGTCAGGTATGCACACAAAAAAACCCACCCTCTGCTGAAATTCTAATTGAATGGTTATATTTTGATTAAACCAGAAAATGTTCCTTGTTTGCTCAAAATTGGAGATTTGGTTTGGGATAAAAGTAAAAAAATATGGGGAAAGGAGACTTGTAGATAGAGAAAATTGAGAAAGCTGAAACACATTTATGAGAATTTGCAATAATCTTTTCTCTTTGTTTAGACAGTTGTGTTTGAAAGTTTACACAGCCAGGTAGGAATTCAATCTTTATGTGTGTTGTGAAAAAGAGAGCAGTGTCTGCAGTCAAAGCTCTCTACAGCTCAGTCTATATCGTCATTTTCATCTGTGGTTATGGCATTTGGTGAGCGATATCAATGAGTTTCTTTTGCAAAGTGGCCCGAGCTGGGTCACATAGAAGGAGTGAAGCCAGTTGAGGTGGTTCATGCATCTGTTAGGGATGCCTTCTGCACATTTCTCTCGGGAGCATTCACTGGCAGGAGACCAGGGGCAGACCCAGGACACGCTGGAGGGATGGTGTCTCTCAGCTGGATTGGGAACGCCTCAGGATTCCCCCGGGAGAGCTGGAGTTAGTGTGTGTGGAGAGGGATATGGGTCTCTGCTCAGACTGCTGCCTGCATAAACCGGTGGAATAGAAGGGATGAAGGATTGTCGGCTCTTGTATCTATGACAGATAGAAGAGATTCCATGATGAAAACTTTGCCAAAAACATTCCTGATTGATGTAAAACCAAAACTTATATAGAAATATGTACCCCAGCTTCCATCCAATCAAACATCCATAAGTGTGTGCGTCTATAAGTTTCTAAGTGAAGTTGTGTGTTCTCCACAGTGCACACTCTGCTCCCTGCAGACATTTCGTCAGTGTATGGTTTGGGAGCACCGGCCTCTCACAGGTACGAACCATATCTATTATGTTATTAGTGATAGGGCTGCTAGCATAACTGAAATTTTATTAGTTGAAATTCGGGCAAAGCAAGACTACAATAGGATATGTTTACACCACAATCCATGGTAGTGGATAGTAGTGATAGTTGTATTGGACGGCAGCTGAAAAATCTTATGGTAATAATCCATTTCTAATTTCTTATCCACATGAAACAAAAACGGCTAAACATCTTCTTTGTCAGTTCATTTCAGCCATGGTCTCATTATTTTATATTGTCGTGGTAGTGGTACCACAACGATACCAAGTGGTACTATCAAAAAACCTGTGCATGAGTTTCTTATTTCTCCTTTTATTCGGCTGTAATTACATTTCTCGAACGAAAAAAGGTTATTTCATCTTATCTTATGATGTTGCCAGTAGAAAGGTCTTACAGACACAAGAACAATATGGCGGGTTTGAGAATGTTGCCGCTATCAAATAATGATGTTCAAAAACATTTGGAAATGTTTTTTCAGATTGCTTCTTTTCCATAGATAGCATTGCATTGGTACCTGACCTCAAACTGAAACACTATTCAACAAAAAAATGATCTCAACCTATCATACCAGCTCTATGCACCGTTCTATGCACTTCTCAACAGAAATGTCGGACCAGAACTTGTTAAAAAATTCAGATATTTCAATCATAAGCACTTTAAAAATGTAAACTGTAAAATGCGCTGTATAAATTAATAAATAATATAAATAAGAAGAATCGCAACTGCATTTTTGTCAAAGTCTTGCAACCCTGATCAGTATCCAAATATTACTGCAATTGACGCATGTTTTTATGTTTATTTATCTAGAAAGGAAGCCTCCAGAGTGATCAACAGACTAACGGGTAAATATGTTGAATACCTTTGCTCATATCAGTCTTTAAATAACCGTTCTATGCCATGCTGTAATACCTCCATAAATCACAAAGCTATACAGTCTTGAACAATACAGTCCTGTTCCTTTTGATCTTCCAGTTTAGTTAACTTATCTCACACTGGGGGCTGTAAAGATAGTCCACTGACCCTGATTTCACACAACGATCAAAGCCCTTCGTCAGCATTTCTGTTCTGAAAGCATGAATTGTGTTTCTGAACCTACAGAGCTGCTGTCCATGTTTAACCCGGACGTCACCACTGAACATGGCGACACTTCTATGGACGGAAGGTACACACACAGCTCCTGGTCCATCTCTGGTCTATACTCTGCTATACGTACAATGCTGCTGGTCACAAATGATGATTTTAGTTCAATTCAGTTCAGTTATATTTCATTTGGCGGCATGCGCTATACAGCAAGACAGTCCTGGGTTTGAGTTGTGGTCTCCTCGTGTCTGCTCCTGTTTCCTCCAGGTGCTCCGGTTTCCTCTACCCCCAATAGATCTGGCATGTGCCTCCTGTATGGCGATATCAGGGTGAGAGACAAATGCAACAAAAAATGATAATAATAATAATAATTAAGCTCTTTGTGACTCTGGTCTGTGAAAGGCGCTATATAAATAAAGATTACTTACTTACTTATTGTCCCCGTGGCAAAATTTGTCTTCTGCCTTTGACCCATCCTGCCACTAGGCCCTCTATCAGGAGCAGTGGTCGCGGCAGTGCAGTGTCCAGGGACCTATCTTCAGATGTTGGTGATTGCGTTGGTCAGGATTTTTGCCTATTGTACACGTGTTTAGTGGTATAGGGGAAGCCGGAGCACCCAGAGGAAACCTACGCAGATACTGGGAGAACATACAAACTCCCCTCAGAAAGGTCCTGTTCCGACTAAGAATGCTAGCCACTATGCCGCCCCAGCCCCATCAATAATACATTAATACATTTTCTTGTGTTTCAGGTCACTCCCTGCACAAGCGGAGGAAATAACACAACATGTTGCACAGGTAAATCTAAATACACAACATCAAATATGTCTTAACGCTGCATATTCAAATATTTGTTTTGAATCTATTACAGTTGGTAATGATGTGGTTGTAATTATTTTTAATTTATTATTAAATATTTCAGACTTAAATTACTTTGGTCCATAAAAAATAAATAGTCCTCATCTGGCATATGGTAATGTGAAGTTGTTTCTCCAGGACAGAGAGTGGAAGCTGTGGGTGCTGTTTGTCCCAGTCACCTCGCTGTGCCCCTGTTCAGATCATGTAAGTCAGCTCACAGAGTTCCTCCAGCAATGTACACAAGGATATACAAGTGTAATTGAAGCAGTGGTATAATAATAATGATAATGATAATGATAATGATAATGATAATAATAATAATAATGCATGGGGCTTTTTATAGTGCTTTTTTGGACGCTCATGCTATTGTAATGCCTGGGTAGTCCTATGGTAATGCTTTTGGTCTTCTTTTTTGACACCCTTCACATGTCATTATTCATTCACTCCACACAAAGTGGTGATAAACTACCACTGTAGCCACAGCTGCCCTAGGACAGATACAAGCAAAGCAACCAGTAGATTCCATTGGCCGCTCCAACCACCACCAACAATTCACACGCACGCACAGGCAACAACAGTTTAGCACTTTACAGCCGCAACAGCACCCCTGTGGCACCTGGTGTTCCCAGAGGTCTCCCATCACAACACTAACCAATCCCTGCCCTACTGAACTTTTGACGTGTGATAGGATCAGGCTTTCACATCAGGCTCCATATAAGGAGATACTTACTTCAGATTTTTCATAAATACAGTTTAACTTGTTTGCACTCAGAGCCCAAGCCCCGGTGATCCAAGATGGCGCCCTATTCAAATGAATTGCTTGTGCTCAGTAGCGTATGGGACTTCACGGAGACCGGGAGATTAGCAGAACTCGCCTATTTTTGGGCATCGTCTTGTCCTCCTGGTTCTGCGCAGTGGACGAGCTTCCATGATGCGTTGCGCCAAATACGCGTGTGGCTCTCATGCACGTGCACAGAGGGGCTCGGCCACGCTCTGATCAATCAGAGCTGCTGATCAGAGCAGCTGTAGAGCTGAGTCAGAGCGGGAAGGAAAGGAGCAGAGTTTGTGGCAGTAAAGTGTGGATTTAAAGAAAACCAAATGATTTAAGAAGAAAAAAAGCTCAGGATGACAAGGGACACTAAAATCCCCATATTTCTGAAAGCTGTAGGTTCTCTGTCAGCTGAGGCCGAGCTGTTTTAATTTACATTGAGTTCTATGGGACTTTTTTCTGGGTAGCCCGCATGAATTTAGTTTGCAGTACCACGGGCGCCCCCTGTGCCCGTGGGTGGGACAGCGTTAAGCTAGTAATACCCTATCCAGTTTTTATTATAGATCCATGTGAGAGCCAAAGGAATTTCATATCTGTGACTTCCTGTTAGTTACATGGGTATAAAAAATATTCAGATTCTGAATTGCAATTTATGGAAATAGGATATGGCTCAAAGTTCACACAAAATCATATAATATTTGAAAGAAGACAAAAACACAAGATGCATTCACGTAAAAAAAAAAACCTGTTTGATCTGTACATTTCTTGCTGATTTGTCTGTGTTTGGTGAAGGTTCCTGAAGATGTAACAAAACTGGTCCAGGAAGTGGAGGAGACTCTTCAGATCATGCACAACCAGGTGACGTGTAAAACCAAGAGGAAACTACTATCATTGACCACAAATTACCGGCAGTCAATAAATCAGTGGTCACCAAGCATTTCTCATTCAGGACCTCATTTTGAGACGCACACAAAGCAAAGTCCTCAGACCAGTGACAACCACCAGTAATGAACCTTTAAGCCTGATATTTGTAATCTCTCTGTGTAATGACATCCATCTATATCTATGGTTCATCTGTACTCACTTTATTCAGAAAAATCAAAATACAAGTAAAATAAATACAATCTTTTCTGTCACATTGGGAAAATAAACAAAATAATGAATACATGAAATTAACCAGATGATGGAGACAGCATGTTGTGATCTTTATGTGGGGAAAAAAAGTACCTGAGCTTTATCTTCTATTCAGTTTCACTCCAAAATGTTTCATGGAAAGCTTCTGTTCATAGACCATTTCTATAGGACAATCCAAGAGGACAAAACTGCTGAGTGCTGCATCTGTCCCTGGCCATAGTTTAGTCATGTCTGGAATTCAATTGCAAATATTTAGAGCAGTTTTTATTGTAATGAATGGTTTGTTTGTTTGTTGTTTATTTTTATTTAGATCGCCAATAGCTACTGAAGCATACAACTATTCCTGGAGTTTATATACTCATCAACTTGACAGGGAAATGAACACAAATGGATGTAGAAACAAAAAAATGCTATAACAATAATACAGAGTAACTTTATACATAAATACATCCATACATATAGCCCACACACACACACACACACACAATGGTTCCATCCAATTCAGAGGGGTATTAAAAAAAAAAAAAATTCCATTTGACGTTTAACATGTGTTTGCAGCTGCACCAATCGCTGGTCCATGTGGTGGTGTGGAGTGGCCCTCATCACCAGAGCAGGTAAATGTCAATGTTGCAGCGCACATACAGGGCTGTAGTAAGAGCACACAAGGAGCACACAAAATATAATAATAATATAAGTAACTGATATGTTTCTTAGCTTTCTGTAAATACTTAAATATCAATGTATCGATATACCTCTATCTCATATATAGTGCAAAGTTATATACATTTAGGACAGGAAGTAGATAAAATGACATTCAGTGGACATTCTGAAATCGCGGTGTTGCACATTGCACATATGTAGATACAACATTCACTTCGGAACTTTATAAACATACACATAATGATCATAATAAACTTTGAATCTTTCTTTTTCCCAGCAGTTCTTGTGAATGCATCCGGAATGACAACATAAACCAGAGACTGCATCAAGCCACACTTCTCCAGACGCTGCAGGTGCGCGCCCATGACACAGCTGACAGATATCCAACTTACTGTTTTCTATATGTACGTACAGTGTTTGTGTATTCTCCGTCTGGTCCCAGGTCTCATTACGATCTATGGTGGGAGACAAGCAGTGGAACAGCGATGAGTTCAGCGTGGTGCTCCAGCCGCTCCCGGTCCTCCTCCAGTCTGTATGTGTCAAAGGTTTTAAATTAAAGTGTCTATTGAGTAAAAAAAGACAAAGTTAAAATATTAATAATTGAAGCAGTAAACACACTGAATAAGAAGGATTTAAAAACTAAAATAAACTAAAAAGGCTCATGGTAGTCCGTCTGTTTCAGCTCGTTTCGTTCCTACCAGTCTTAGTACCCGTCCGTCCCGTTCCTGCAGAGGAGGGAGGAAAAATCATGCAGCAGCAAGTTTTAAAACAAGAAAATGAGATTTTTTTTTAATTAAAGCTAGTTAAAACCATGCTAAAATATAACAAACTTGTGCCTCCGACGTATGCACCTTTTTAATTCCCATTATCGTTTCATTGAGTCAAACTTTTTCAAACTTTTACTATTTATGTTTACGTTTATTGAAGGGTTCCTCATTAGGGCTGTCCTTATTCTGCCTGGGGTCAAAATTAAGTACAGTAAATAAAATCAAATGCGTTACAGTATATTCAGATATAAGCCATATAGGATACAATATAAATATATGGAAGGTTATTGAGGAATTAACACGAAAAAAACACATTATTTAGTAGACACTGTTTAAACTCTGATTGAATAACACTCATTCAGCAGTTCTTACAGTTGAATAGCTAATTAAGGGATGTGTAACTATTTATTAATTATATGTTTATTAATATCACAAGTCCTTGAGTGCTGGTATAATGTGTCCAATATTTCCAATCGTCCTCAAATCTGTCATGATCCATTCTTAGTGTGAAAGTGAGTCTCCATTTGGCGTCCAAACTTTTGAGTAAGAGTTTACTTTAAAAAATATGACCTTGTCCAAGGGGCTAACCACATGGATTGTAAACTGTTTACAGTGGGTCTCCAAACCATGCAACAAAATATTGAGAATAAATACAAATAAAAATGAGACACTTCTCAACAGTAAGGCTGAAAAATCTCCAAGGACTTGTAGCTGTCCTGTTTATGTTTTTTTTACTATGCATGTGTCCCGTCTGCAGGCTTGTGTACTTTGTTTTGCGGCTGCATAGTATGTGGGTTGTGCGTCATTGTGCTATGTTATGTGTGTTATGTACAGTATTGTATGTTTGTGTGTTTGTATGTACATATAGTGACAGGGTCGTCTGAAAAACAGAAAGAAAAAAAACCCGCTTGAACTAAAAATGTGGTATGATATGTGTGTTGTAGGGAATGATGTTTATTCTTCGTACGTCTTCAAAAGTCCATGTTAAAGAAGTAATGTGGTGGTGACTTTTGTGCGTCTGTGTGTGTTTTCCAGGTGAACTCGGTATCGGATGTAAACAACATAGCCATTCAGTTGTGGACTCACATGGCAAGTCCAACTGCTACTTTTTTCCCCTTGTTTACACGGGACTGTTATTTGACACTGGAAATGACCCTTTGTGCCTCTCACTTCAGAGATAATATAGTTCGAGTCTTATCCGAAGCCGATTAGATACTGTAGAAGATGTAAAGATTAACCAGATGCACTGAGGATAGCTTCAGCTGTTACCTGAGCCATTCCCATAAAACTCTCATTTTAACGAGCGCTGACGTGATGTAATGCTAAATCCAAATGATCCAGCAGTAAAACTGCACTCATTTATCCAACGTTTTACTTTTGTGTCTCCAGCTGCAGGTGGCGTCTTCAGAGAAACACCTCCCCTGCCCTTCCACGGTAAGAAAATATTATTGTTGTTTTTTTAAGATTTGCTATTTCAACAAGCAATTATCTTGAGTGTATGTGTGTTCCATTGGGGAATAACTACGGCTCACTCAAAGCACTGATGTTGTTGTTTCTTGAATTGAAGGCTTAAAAAAATGATGGGGATGAATAATGCCATGTGAAGAGTTTTTGAAAGTGCTTTATAAAACCGATGTGATATTGTTATTATTCATAAAATATGACTATTTTGACTTGGACTTCCTTGTCTCCAGGAGCAGCCGTACCTGCGCACACAGACAGAGCTCCCAGTGGAGAGGGAGCAGCGGGCTCCCAGCGACACCACTGCAGCTGTGGATCCTGTGCGTTCCATCTAAGCTTTTACTGTAATCGACATTATGTGTTTAGCAGAGATCAGACTCTCACTGTTGTTTTTTCAGATTTTTGGGACTAACTTCTCCTGCACACACATCAGTCCGTCTGAATCCACACCGACATCAGGTGAACCCTGTTCTTATTGTGATTATGTATTACAACGACTATAGACCTTCTATACCATTGTAATATCATGGCCACTGGTCCACTGTTTCCCAACTGGGGGTATGTGGGCCCGTAGAGGTATCACAAGGGGGACTTTGTGCTTTTCTCTTCCATGATTATAAGTAATTCACAAATAAAGATAATAAAATGTTTGTGGACTGCCATGGCATGTTATTCATCATTTTAAATCTAATGTTCTCATAAAACACCGGGCCCCAAACGTTTGGGACCACTCTTCCTAAAAAGCGTTGTATTATCATTGCTTCAACCCTATGGTTCTTCTGTCTTCTTCTGTTTGGCTGAAATCTGCAGGAAATTCATGACTTATACTTGTTCTATGATCTCCCAGTACATGCGGTCAGACCGGCAGATGTGCGAGTGGTCGCTGCTGTTGGAGATTCTCTGACGGTCAGTGGCTCTTGTCTAATGGATCATAATGTACTGTGTTTTTATTAATGACTATATTGTATACACAAGTATATTGTATACACAAGTGCAGTATGTATACACAAGTGCAATTAAACTTCCCTTGCCTTGCCTTGTTTTTGGCTGTTCATCCAAGTATATCCATATAATTTTAAATTCAAAGCTGGGATGCCAATCTTTCGGACCACATAAAGTTAACTATGTAATTTTAGCCGCATATGGTGACTGGTGGGGCCGATTTGTCTATAAAAACATTCTACTTTATCTCTTTCTGTTGGGACAAACAACATGGATTATTTTGAAAGATAAAGTCAGGGAGCTGAGCTTTAAGATATTATTGATCATGTTTGAGGAATTATGCAAAGTGTGTGTTATGTAAACGTGTCTTCTATTTTCAACAGGCAGCTAATGGTGTGGGGGCAAAGACAAACAACCTGCTGCTGGTGATTAATGAGTACAGAGGGCTGTCGTGGAGGTAAGGAGGCCTCTCTGTTATTATATTATGCACATTTTATTTTTGGGCCTCATTTATTTTAACCTTGCTACAACATAGTTCCCTCAGCAAAACAGACCCAGAGTTTGTTTTAAATCATGTAACTCCTGCCCTTCTGTCTAAAAGCTCCTGTCTCAGTCCTGTTATAGTATGATGTCATTGTACCACTATGACATCACACTCAGACCAGTTATGTGCCTTTTGAAACAAAAGTATTGCCCTCAAATTGGTTTCACATACTATATTTGAATCAGGTAATTTTTGTTTTTGTAATTGAGGGTTAGAGGTGGACACGCATCACAGTATGTACCCTTCACACCTGTTTCACTATATATGTTCTGCTTTCTAATGGATTAAATATCCTGTCTGTACTCTCAGCATTGGCGGTGATGGAAACCTCTCTGTTGTCACAACTCTGCCCAGTATGTTGCTTTTCTCTTCTACAAATACACAGTACAGTACATACCTAAATATACCAGTATATACCTACATTATTACTCAGTCATAGTTATATGTATTGTCAACTTTAATGAGAGTTTAAACTTAACTTTTAGTCTTTCAATCATTTTGTTTTCCTCTGCCAATGTCTGTTTACACCAAGGCCTTATCTCTTCTCTCGGTTCTATACTGTCTTACTCAAAATAGTCAAACTCCATGTAAAAAAGTAGCATCAAAAACTACAATAAACACATACCTGTAAATTGGAGGCTATTGTGAAACTACATAAATAAGATACAAGTCCAGTCACTTCTACAGAATGAATACTGTATTTTGTTGCTGTTTACAATGTACGACATACATGTCAAATGCTAATACTTTGTACATGTTGTATGTAAAAATGATGTCATACACTTTACTTTTTAACGCCAATATTGATTATGTTGTCTTGTGATCCTGTCTAATGTAATGTTGTGTCCCAGACATCCTGAAGGAGTTCAATCCCAATGTGACTGGCTTCTCTGTGGGACAGGGCAAACAGACGGAGCCTAAGGCATTTCTTAACCAGGCAGTGGCGGGGGCCAAAGCCGGGTACGCCCATACTAATGAAATATTACAGCCTTTGGGTTATAGTATATACTCTCTTTGAAATGTGCACACACAATGTTACAGAGCTGCAGCAATCCCACCAGTAGATGTCAGGTTTTAGACTCAGACTGGGTTGGGGTTAGGGTACTAAAAACCACATTGTAATACTATATCATTTTAGATAATATATTAAAGTGAATGTCAGTTACTTCAAATTGACTTTCTGCTGCGGTCTGTCTGAAAATCAAATGCTCAAAGTAGCAAGATGATGCGTGATTACCTTTGCCAAAAAACATGTTTATTCTTTATATACTTCAAGATGTGAGTGCTAAGGCCAATTTATGAGACACTTTTGAAAATGTAATCCATCTGATCAGTGGGGCCATTGAGACCAGAGCCAGTGTGGTCAGACTGGTTTGGGAGCAATGCCGAGTGGAGTCTGTATTTTTATACTTTGCAAACGTACACATTGTTTCTAGATCTAAAACATGAAATGCCAAAGAAAGGGTTTTTAACACAAGTGATGCACGCAGTGAGACATCCTGTTTATAATTATGATTTATATATTTGTTTTTTTTCCAGAGACATGGTTGAACAAGTGCGTGTTGTGGTGAACAAAATGAAAACCGACCCTGTAAGTGCAAACACATTTATAACTTCACAGAATCGCTAACGGTAATAATTAATGACGACCTCTCCTCCCTGTCCCAGAGAATCGACTTCCACAACGACTGGAAGGTGATCACCATGTTTGTGGGAGGGAACGACATCTGTGACTTCTGCACAGACACAGTGAGTGGCTGTCTCTCATTGTAACTGCTGCTGCTACTACTATTACTGCTACTGCTACTACTGCTGCTACTACTACTACTACTGCTGCTGCTACTACTACTACTACTGCTACTACTGCTGCTTCTACTACTACTACTACTGAAGAGAATCAGCCAATGTCTGGGATCGTGTCTTTCATTCAGACAGAAGACATGTTTTATTGTCGATGGTAGAGACAGCACGAACAGGAGCACACGAACAAGGGATGTTACGACAGCAAGTGTATTATACAGCATGGAGGAATGCAGTGTGCACTGTGCCATGTACAGTAGCTTGGCCTTCAGAAGTCAAAACAAGGGAAAAGTACTGGCTTCTGCACATTGATAGAATGATGAGTTTAACTTTAACAAAAGTTGCTTAAAAGTGTTATGAAATCTCACATTCCCCCCTCTGGTCACACATTCACGTGTGACCATCAGGATCGATAAACAGCAACATAACATCATAACTCAATACTTAAACTTGGTACTTCACTCGGTACTTCAAAAAACTCAGAACTCTGAATACTTCAAAAACTCATAAAACATGTTCAGATCTTTCATAAAACTTGTCAACAATCTTCAGTAAAATACCAAACTTCATCAGTCGATGGTGGTTCCAGATATTGCTTTGAAAACAGTCTCTCCCACTTGATTCTTCAGGCTGCATTTGTTGTGTCAAGCCATGAATTCTTGTGTCTTTCAATCACACGTTTCAGCTTTAGTGTCCAGATGCAGCAATTCAATTCAGCCCAAATTATGTCCAAATTCAGAAATCCAGATTGTTCCAAATGATGTCCATGCAAAAGAGGACGATGGTGTTGTCTCAGCAGCTCACAGCCTGAATGGAATCAGGAGCTGTGCAGATTGTCCATGTGCTGATCCAGATGCATGGTTTCTCTTGAGGTTTCTCAGTTTTGTCTTAAAAAAACCCAAACATTTTTGTCCGTCCGTCCGTCTGTTTTCCTCCGCTTCATCCGTTGCCGGGTCGCGGGGGCAGCAGTCTAAGCAGAGACGCCCAGACTTCCCTATCCACACACACTTCCTCCAGCTCGTCCGGGGGGACCCCAAGGCGTTCCCAGGCCAGCTGAGAGACATAGTCCCTCCAGCGTGTCCTAGGTCTTCCCCGGGGCCTCCTCCCAGTGGGACGTGCCCGGAACACCTCCCCAGGGAGGCGTCCAGGAGGCATCCGCAACAGATGCCCGAGCCACCTCAACTGGTTCCTCTCGACGTGGAGTAGCAGCGGCTCTACTCCGAGCTCCTCCCGTGTGACCGAGCTCCTCACCCTATCTCTAAGGGAACGCCCAGCCACTCTGCGGAGGAAGCTCATTTTGACCGCTTGCATCCGCGATCTCGTTCTTTCAGTCACTACCCAAAGCTCATGACCATAGGTGAGGGAGGGAACGAAGATTGACCGGTAAATCAAGAGCTTTGCCTTTCGGCTCAGCTCCCTCTTCACCACGACGGTCCGATACAGCGACCGCATCACTGCGCACGCTGCACCGATCCGCCTGTCAATCTCACGCTCCATCCTTCCCTCACTCGTGAACAAGACCCCGAGATACGTGAACTCCTCCACTTGAGGAAGGACCTCTCCACCCACCTGGAGAGGGCAAGGCACCTTTTTCGGGTCGAGCACCATGGCCTCAGATTTGGAGGTGCTGATTCTCATCCCAGCCGCTTCACACTCGGCTGCAAACCGTCCCAGTGCATGTTGTAGGTCCTGGTTTGTTGGAGCCAACAGGACAACATCGTCCGCAAACAGCAGAGATGAAATCCTGTGGTCCCCGAACCGGACCCCCTCCGGCCCCTGGCTGCGCCTAGAAATTCTGTCCATGAATACAGTGAACAGAACCAGTGACAAAGGGCAGCCCTGGCGGAGGCCAACATGCACCGGGAACAGGTCTGACTTACTGCCGGCAATGCGAACACAGCTCTGGCTCCGGTCATACAGGGGCCGAACGGCCCTCAGCAGAGGACCCCGGACCCCGTACTCCCGGAGAACCCCCCAAAGAACACCCCGGGGAACACGGTCGAACGCCTTCTCCAAATCCACAAAGCACATGTGGACAGGTTGGGCGAACTCCCATGAACCCTCGAGTATCCGATGGAGAGTATAGAGCTGGTCCAGTGTTCCGCGGCCGGGATGAAAACCACACTGCTCCTCCTGAATCCGAGATTCGACCATAGGCCGTAGCCTCCTCACCAGTACCTTGGAGTAAACCTTGCCAGGGAGGCTGAGGAGTGTGATCTCACGATAATTGGAACACACCCTCCGGTCCCCCTTCTTGTAGAGAGGGACCACCACCCCGGTCTGCCACTCCATTGGCACCGCCCCTGATCGCCACGCGATGTTGCAGAGACGTGTCAGCCAAGACAGTCCCACAACATCCACAGACTTTAGATAGTCAGGGCGGATCTCATCCACTCCCGGCGCCTTGCCACCATAGAGGCTGCCAACCACCTTGGTGACCTCTGCCAGGGAGATGGAGGTATCCGCCCCAACATCCTCAGCCTCTGCCTCCGGGGCGGAGGACGTGACGGGGGGGTTGAGGAGAACCTCAAAGTATTCCTTCCACCGCCCGACAATATCCCCAGTCGAGGTCAGCAGCTCTCCACCCCCAACATAAACGTAGGCCCGTAGGCCGTCACAACAGTGAGAGACTTGTCCCCCACCCGAAGGCGGAGGGACGCGACCCTCTCATTCACCGGGGAGAACTCCAACACGTGGCGGCTGAGATGGGGGGCAATTAGTATGGCCACCCCTGCTCGCCGCCTCTCCCCGCGAGAAACACCAGAAAAGTGGAGCGTCCAACCCCTCTCAAGGAGTTGGGTTCCAGAGCCCAAGCTGTGTGTGGAGGTGAGGCCGACTCTCTAGTCGGTATCGCTCAACCTCCCCCACGAGCTCGGGCTCCTTCCCCCCCAGTGAGGTGACATTCCACGTCCCAAGAGCCAGATGTTGTGTGTGTGGACTGGGTCGCCGAGGTCTCCGCCTTCGACTGCTGCCCAGTCCTCTTAGCACCGCGCCACCACGGACCCCTCTGCAGGTGGTGAGCCCACAGGAGGGACTGCCCACGTCGTCCCTTCGGGCTGAGCCCGGCCGGGCCCCGTGGGCTAAGGCCCGGCCACCAGGCGCTCGCATACGAGCCCCGACCCCAGGCCTGGCTCCAGGGTGGGGCCCCGGCTGCGCCATGCCGGGCGACGTCACTGGTCTCATTTTAGTGCTGTCCATGGTGGTTTTTGGACCGCTCTTCGTCTGACTCGTCACCTGAGACCTGTCTGCCATGGGAGACCCTACCAGGGGCATGAAGCCCCAGACAGCATAGCTCCCAGGATCACCCGAGTACTCAAACTCCCCCACCAAGTTAAGGTGGCAGTCCAGGGGGGAAACATTTTTGTGTAAAAAAAAAAATGTCTTCTGTTCTGTAGATGTTACGGACAATGCCCGCATCCTCCACCACCTGAAGAGAATCAGCCAATGTCTGGGATCGCGTCTTTCATTCAGACAGAAGACATGTTTTATTGTCGATGGTAAAGACGGCACGAACAGGAGCACACGAACAAGGGATGTTACGACAGCAAGTGTATTATACAGCATGGAGGAATGCAGTCCTCCAATCAGCAGCTCCCACTGTGCCATGTACAGTAGCTTGGCCTTCAGAAGTCAAAACAAGGGAAAAGTACTGGCTTCTGCACATTGATAGAATGATGAGTTTAACAAAATTTGCTTAAAAGTGTTATGAAATCTCACACTACTAAAACTACTACTGCTGCTGCTGCTACTACTACTGCTACTGCTACTACGGCTACTGCTGCTGCTGCTGCTACTACTTCTACTGCTACTACTACTACTACTGCTACTGCTACTGCTACTACTACTACTACTACTACTACTGCTACTACTGCCACTACTAGTACTACTACTATTAATACAACTACTACTGCTACTACTACCACAGCTACTGCTATGCCTACTAGTACTACTATTTCTACTGCTACTGCTATCACTACTACTACTGCTACACCTACTAGTGATGCTGCTACTACTGCTAATACTAACATCTCCAACAGATTCTCTTCTCTCCTCGGAATGTGATCGGCAGAATCCGCGCTGCTCTGGACATCCTGCATGAAGAGGTGAGTGTGATTTTCCTTGGTGTGAAGCTGGTGATGGCAGTGGCACACATGGTTTAGTGGTACGCATTGTTCAGTGGTACGCATGGTTTAGTGGTACGCATGATTCAGTGGTACACATGGTTTAGTGGTACGCATGGTTTAGTGGTACGCATTGTTCAGTGGCACACATGGTTTAGTGGTACACATGGATCAGCGGTACATATGGTTGTGTCCAGGTTCCTCGGGCCATAGTGAACCTGGTGGAGCTGCTGAGTATTGTGCCTCTGCGGGAGCTGCACCAGGACAGTTCTCTGGATTGCCCCAGCTGGTTTGTCAAGTGAGTGTCACGCAAAAGAAAGAAGAAGCATGGTATGTCTTCTTTAAGGGTGCGTTCATCAGGTTACAGTCTGTGGCAGGGGTGGGCAATTGTTTTCTTCGGGGGGCAACGTTGGGATATCATCCTATGTGGTTCATTTTTTATTGTTTTTTGCTAAAAGCTACTTCAGTGTTTTAATGTAAAACAAACATGAAGATATCCACTGTTATGTGTTTTTGGAGATTTTGTTTAGAGCAGTTTTTTATTAATAACATTTTGGGTTCTTTTATTAGAACAGAATAGATGTATAACCTACCATTGTAGCACATAACTTCGTTGAGTATTTGACAATTTGACCTTGATGTATTAGAAGCAAATAAAATCCCATTTTATAAATCTTTATCAGCAAGGCCAGTTAGTATTCATTGTTTATTCTTTGCCAAATAAAATCCAACATACTCCATCAAACACACTAAAATGAACAGTTTTCAGCATCAAATTGATCCAAATGAATTATTTAGAAAACTAGGCATTTTCTTACATATTCTTTCTCAGATTGGTGTGTCCGTGCATCCTGAAGCCAAACGAAGGGACAGCAGAGCTGCAAAAGACCAGAGACTTTAACAGGGCTTACCAGGTACTAATGCAAACTACTAAAGTGGAATATCTTTTAATGCTTTTTCCTTGGGTGTTTTTCTTTACAGAATTTGTGTTTTTATGTAATATGGCCTTAAAAACCTACATGAAGCTAGATACATGTTGCCTAGTTGTACGGAAATCCCTATATTCCCTAAGGACAAAATATGTGTGCGTTTGTGTGTGTCTGTGTGTGCATATGTGTGTGTGCGTGTAGAAAGCAATGAGGGAGCTGATCAACTCTGGCCGCTACGACACGCACACTAACTTCACGGTGGTGCTGCAGCCATTCTTCAGGGAGGTGTTCCTGCCCAAGCTCCAGGTACATTCAGTCGATGGAGGAGACAAGCGCACAATTTTGCATTATAATTTGAAATCTAGGGCGACAGTAGCTCAGTTGGTAGAGCATTGGCCTTCAGGCCTGAAGGTAGTGGGTTCAATCCCCACCTCTACACCTTCTCCACCGACTCCCGCTGATGACTGCTGTCGTTGTGTCCTTGGGCAAGACACTTAACCCCACTTTGCCCAAAGCCCCCACTGAAAGATCAAGGCTATGCTCACACTCAGAGAGCAGCCGTCCTCCTGTGGACTCACCACCTGCAGAGGGTCAGTGAGGGGCTGGTGCTATGAGACTTGGGTGGCATCTCTGATTGCCACCCCCCTGACCCAGAAATGGATTAAAGGGTAGAAAATGGATGGATGGATGGAATTTGAAATCTCTGAATTACAGCCCAACAAACTAAATTTCTGCCTGTGTGTAAACTTTTAAACACAACTGTACTGGTCATGTCTTAAACTATTTTTCATGTTTATCCATACAGTATGTATTTTGTACTTGTGAAGGTTCGTTTAAAACAGAACACATGGCTGGGTCGGAAAGGGCGTTTTCAGAAGTTTTTAATTAAAAACTCTCAGTAGAAAAACAGTGGGAACTTACAAAAACCATATTTACAGAGCACAGTGAAAAGACTATCGGCAAAAAGGATATTTACAATAAATATGCACGACTTCAACACTAAGTCTCTTTTTCCATAGCTTTACACTCAAGCTCCTGCAGTCCACATTACCTTCTCTGTAATGAGTCACGACCCCCATGGGGCAGACAAGCACACCTTTTGTACCCTGCTGGCCCCTCCCACATTACAAATCAATCATCGAATAAAACATCATATCTACACTACATGAGTATTTCCTTATGTTCATGATTTCATAATACCGTTCCACATTGACATATTTACCATAAAATACATTATGAGCTACACACTGCAAAGAGTCCAAATGTCCATGCAAATGAGCTGTGGTCACCTGACCCACAGACAGGTGCATTTAATCCACGGGCTCCTTATGTCCGGGTTTGCCAAACCGCACCATGGAGACGCCACGACCACGCCAGCACAGGCGAGTGAATGACACATGTAACTAGATTTAACACACCATGCAACGCTTCCAAGTGTGCACCCTGAAGACGCGTTCACGCACGCTACATGTCACAAACACAGTCCCTAGCAGTAGTCAATGAATGGGCTTGGCCGTTGCGCGCAGCCACCATGGCACCGGGCGCGCGCATCTTCACATGCGCTCCGTGGGACAGCGTGCTCAGGGACGGGCTCACCCCGTCACAGTACTACAGATGTAATGCATCATATGTCATCGTTAGAATATCTAAAGTATATATTTTCCCAAGGATGGCCGTCCTGACCGTTCATACTTCTCACCGGACTGTTTCCACCTGAGCCAGAAGGCTCACACGCTGATGGCCCGCGCTCTCTGGAACAACATGGTACATACACCTCTTTCATTATAACTTTGATACTTTGCTCGTTACTACAAAGGGGTAAGAACGATTTATATTTGTCTTTAGCTGGAGCCAGTCGGCAACAAGACGTTCACACAGGACTTCACTTTGGGGATTGAGCTCAAGTGTCCGTCTGAGGTACAGCACTCACTGGTGCAGAAGGTTAAGTTCTTAGCCAGGTTTTTACCATCAAGATTTCTAGTCATAATATTTATAATATAACTTTTTAATGGAAATACAAAGATTGTCAAATTTCCTCTTGTTTACTCTTTGTGATTATGTCTTGCACCATCCGCCATGAGGTAATCTACTTATCCTAGTTTGTGTGTTTTTATAATAAGACAAAAGTGTAAAGAAGCTAGTATTGCTTCAATACCTGAACTGTGTTTGTGTAATTGAGCTGTACTTGCTTCTTTACACTTTTGTCCTAAGAACAGCAACAAAAGAAGATACATTGATTATTTGGACTAGTTACTTAATGAGAATGACAAGGAGATCTTCTTCAACGTCTGGAGATAAACTACGAAAGCTTCTTCAAGTGGTATATGTAAAGTTTCTGTTGTGTTTCAGAGCAGCCCATTCATAAGAACAGCTGATAACAGTAACTACACTGTTTCCGGGCCTCCTCCCACTCCTCCTCCCATCACGGTAAGTGTTTTACAAGTCTTAGAAGTCTTCAACTAAAGAGACTTTCTGATGGATATATTTTTTATTTCTGTGTCAATCACATGCAAGTAGGTTATTTTCGACCCACAAAATCGCTTCTCTAAACACATAAATGCTGTGTTTTTGCAGAACTGGGGTAGTGACTTCTCCTGCGAGGACACGGCCCCGTCACCGTCTGTGCCCACCTCTGGTAATCTCACCAAACCTCAGTCTGTGACATTGTGCACGTGGATACATAGGCCAGGGCTGCGATGATGATTGGTTGTTGTTCATTCTTTTCCCAACAATTCAGATTCAGATTCATTTATTTGCCATTTGCAGTAATATATGATTAAAGCTAGAGTACCATACTTTCACTCTACAAAAATAAAACTATGTACCAAAATCCCTAACATTCTGTTACATTTTTCAGCTTTTTCAGATAGAAAAGTGAGACTCAACTCTATGTACTGTATCATATATCAATGTATACAACATTTTCTTATACGATAAAGAAAGCATGTAGTGGTCTGATTTGTTTACGAAACAATTCTTTCTTATGAGACAAACAGGATGTATTTATGAAACAAAAAAGTTAAGTACTGGTTTTAAATTAGAAAAAACACAAGTGATACATATTTTCTATCTAGAAATGAACATAAGATGAGCTATAACTTTATTTCAACGTTAAAAATCTTCAATGTATGGCAGAAATAGCGCAGCAGTCCACTGGAGGAAAACTCAGAGATCTCTTTTCTTTGTCTGAGGAACAGGTGCTGAATAAAGCAAAGCCCGAATCCTCTGATTGCTAACTTTGTCATGAGGCCTTCAGGGCGTCATTTTAATCAGAAAACAAACAGTTTTCCCAATTCTTTTGTGCCCTCTGTTATAAAACTGTTGAACTCTGGTAGAAATGTTTGACTTGTGGGAATTGTTGTGTATTGTATTGTATTTTTAACTGTTGCTGCGTGCCGTGAACTGTGAGGCCTGACTCACTGTGTGTTTGTGGAGAGTCTGTGTGGGATTCTGCTGCAAATGAATTTCCGTTTGGGATAAATAAAGTTTTCTGTATTTGAATCTGAGTAGAGTCCCATGGGAGTAGTGCAGTCTAACACGTCCTGGTTCAGTCCACAGGCTGCGTCCGGCCGACATCAGCGTGGTCGCTGCGTTGGGAGACTCTCTCACGGTGCGGTCGCAATCATTCATCCGTCCACAGCTTCTGCCTTCACTGCTACAGCTGTGTTTCTCCTTTTCTTTTGCAGACTGGCTTTGGGGCCAAAGCAAAGAACCTTCTACAGCTGAGGACGGAATACAAAGGCGTGTCCTGGAGGTGAGAGACGCAAGTGACTTTAAACCTGGTCTTCTCTGTTTTCTGAGAAGTTCTGAGCATTTCTAACCCACTACGTGAAGCGTTTTTTCCCTGTAGGAACTTTTGTTGTGGTACTTTTAGATGTTTTTGTTACTATTTTGGGTGCACTCACATATAGGGGGAGAAGGGAAAATTCTTGTGCTTTCCAGAGAAACCAGAGACCTTATGGTGACACATGTATAGCACTGTCTTTATTCTGAAATATTTTTTCTTAGTTATCCTTAGATTGATCTATTTCACAGGTGTCAAAATAGTTCTGAAAAGGGCCAGTGTGGCTGAAGATACTGTATATCCAACCAGGCAGGTGCACACCAGACTCCACCCTTTGTCTTCAAGTTTTCATTCAAGACTGGACTCATTTGAAGAAACAGGTGGCGGCTGGTGCGCTCCTGCTTGTTTGGATCTAAAAGCTGCAGCCACACCGGTCTTTTGAGGGCGGTTAGACACTCCTGATCTTCTTCTAAAGCACAGGCTGAACCCGTGCACATAAATCTGCAGAATGCCCATAAACCAAGGATTAGATGTAAACTTTCACAAATGAATCTATGCATTCTCCCATCCATTTTCTTCCACTCAATCTATTGCTGGGCCGTGGGCGTTTAAAATGATAAAAGAAATGTCTCCTTTGGAAAGGGAAAATAAAGCAACAGTGACTGAGCTCCAAATGAATCAGATTTGGAATTATACAGTCAATTCCTAACATATATATTTTTTCTTTGATTCAAGATTTATTTATTTTTTTGCACTACATAGTGTACTGTTAATACAGTACAAAAACAAACAGTATTGAATATGACAGTAAAATTATTACAGTACTGACAAAAATCTATACAACTCCCCCTTTCCGTTTACATTCATACCCATTTATATGCAAACCTGTATTATGAGGCAAACCCACTCACTACTTTCCAAGCTAATTACTAATGTAAATGTTCCATGTAGAGTTATATATCATGTATTCATCATTGAACCGTATCTAAGTTTTGTTTTCTTTCCCAACACAAGCATCGGAGGTGATAAAACACTGGAGACCGTCACAACATTACCAAGTATGTGATTTACTGAAGGCCACAGAGCTGCCACTAGATGTCACCCTTGCTACACAGATCTGCCATGTTTTCCAGACATCCTGAGAAAGTTCAACCCTGACTTGAAAGGCATGTCTAAAGGACAGGGCAGCTGGCAAAGCAAGTTTAACATGGCAGTGTCTGGAGCCAAAATAGCGTAAGCAATACACACAAATGAACAATAAACCGGTTCTAATATATATAATGTTTAATACACTATTTTCTTTCCTATAGAGGAGTCCCGGCTCAAGTCACTCGCCTCATTGAAGCCATGAAAAGTGACACTGTAGGGTTCAAATATGTTGGAATGAAGAGTTCACATCATGACCAAAGTGGTGCTAATGTGTCTTGTATTTTCCATAGTCTGTGGACTTTGAGAACGACTGGAAGCTGGTGACTCTGTTTATAGGAGGCAACGACCTGTGCACCTACTGCAACGACCGAGTGAGTGTGTGTTTGAAGGTCTACACACACAGAAATTACATTGGCTATGTGCAATGCTCCTAATTCCCAATAACAAGTACCTCTAAATGTGTCATATTATACAGACTGGATATGTATTTGTTTTTTCAACAAACACTGAGATTAAGATTAAGAGATCCTTTATTTGTTAGAGTAGGTAATTTTCGGTGTTGCCTCACGGGTTTCAGAACAGTAGGAATGAGTAGCACACAACACAAGATAAATAGCTCCACACTTTAATAAATTAAAATTAAATCTCTAATTTAGCGCCTTGAAGAAAGCATAAACACATAAACCCACACACAAGGATAGCAAAAGAAACATATAATCTGCAAAACTCATTCAATAGTGAGTCAAGTTTGTGGATGGCCTTTGGCATTGAGCATGTGTGCTGTTCATCGGAAAGGACCAGAGGAGACAGACCCACATCAGAAAATGAAATGGGATTTTTTTTTCATTTTGTCTTTTAATTTTAATGTTATTGTTGTTTCTATTGCTACTGTATGCAATTGGGTAGACGCTTTTCCCGATCCGTTTCCTTTATTGAGAATTCAGACAAGACTTGGACTTCGGCTGGGGACAAACTAATTATAATATCCCTTGTCTAGACAGTGGCGAAAGCAGTTTTAAAGCGAAAATAAAGATACAGGAGTAAATACACTGTATGTACTCATATAGGGCTGGGTGATATTTTTCTCATTATTATATATCTCTAAAGCCCTATACTCGGCCCGAATCAACTCTACCCAGCTCTTCTCTACCCTGATTGGGAGTATTTCCACCTGCCCTTTTTAGTCGTTACCGGGTACTTTTTTAGTACCTTCTTGGCCCTGGTTCTATGTAAGCAAGCTTGAACTGATAGAGATTGGCCAGTGCTGCTGGAAGCCAAGGACTTTCCATGGATACTGGTTTATTGTGGATAGGTTGCTAGGATACGGTACCAGATCCTAAAGCGTAATAGAAACACAACCAGGTAGAGTAGGGCCAAGGAGGGCTGGTGGATACAGGGCTTGCTTATTGAAATGTATAGACAGTACTTGCACTCAGGCAGGAGCATCATTTAATCAATCTAATCTAAATCCTAACCATGCAAATGTGTCTCATACTGTATTTATCACTGTCATGCTCATGCACTTATGTCCGTCGCTTTGAGCCTGTATGTTATCACTGCGATGTCCCACTTTGGGCTGTCCTCCTCTGGCTCTCTTATTGTTCAAATACTCTGTGAATGAGAGCTTTCTATTTCAAAGCCCCACTTCCTCCACTACAGAGACCAGCTTTGTGCTTCGACTACAAGCCACTCTTTCACAACTACATAACAACAGGGAGCCGTGGAATTGTCAGACATTGAAGTGGCTCTTTGGAGGGGCTTGTTTAGAATGGAAGTACAGCTGAAACTGCCCCTGTCCTTTAGTTTTCTTGTTGTTCCTGCCTCCACTGTAAAGATAAAATTGTAGGGTTGCAAGTGGCACCGTGATATTTATGTGTATTCATATTTACTCAACAGGCTGCGTTATCGCCCCAAAACTACAGTCGGCACATGATGGCGACGCTGGACCTTTTGTACAATGAGGTAAACTTAAACTCTGTAAAAGGTTGCTCTCGTCTGCAGTCTGTGTCACCTGTTCTACTAGAAAAGCATTTCTTAAATTAATAAATTAATTCATTGATTATATAAAAATTGTTTGCACAACAGACATTTAAGCAAAACCAACACAAGGGTTCACTGCTTTAGGTAAGAAATACAAATGAAAATAACCAATTATAAAGCATCAGTTTTATATAGCGCTATACTCTTGACACAGTGGTGATAAGCTACTACTGTAGCCACAGCGGCCCTGGGGCACTCTGACAGAAGCAAGGCACCACTGACAGTCACACACACCAGACTCAAATCTAGGTAATGTGCTTGACAACTTAGTGTGTGTTTAAGTAAAGTATTTTTTTTTTTTTAAAGTAGACATAATAATACTGGGCAACAGTGGCTTACTTGGTTGGAGGTCGTGGGTTCGAGTCCACCACAAGACGTACCCCACCGACTCCCACTGATGTCTCCTGTTGTTGTGTCCTTGGCAAGACACTTAACCTCTGGGAACACCAGGTGCCACAGTGGGGCGGCTGCGGCTGTAAAGTGCCTTAGGCTAGACACTTCCCCCACATTGCCTAGAATGAGTCTAGTGTGTGTGTGAATGGTTGGTGGTGGTCGGAGGGGCCGATGGCAAATACCGGTTGCCTCGCTTCTGTCAGTGTGCCCCAGGGCAGCTGTGGCTACAGTAGTAGTTTATCACCACCGTGTATGGAGTGAATGTAAAGCGTCTTTGAGTGTCGGAAAAGCGTTATATAAAACCGATGCATTATTATTATTATTATTATAAAAGCACCAGAAATGCAGCAGCCTCAATCTGTAAAGTGCTTTGTTTAGGTGACCATGGTTTGTGAAATGCGCTAAATAAATAAAGAATCCTTACTTACTCATGCCTCCACCATCGTTTTGCAGAATTATTTTGCTTCTGATTGTGCTGTTGTCCTGCAGGTGCCCAGAGTGCTTGTGAATGTTTTGGAAATCCTTCAAATCGAGGGTCTGCGCAGGGTCAAGGGAGACAGCCTTGGGTGCAGTGTGCTGAAGCAGTAAGTGGCACGAAACAACACAACATGCAAATACTGAAGCGACTAAACATCGAAAACCTAAAAACCCTGAAACCCTTGTGTGTGTCTTGGTCAGGTTTATCTGCACCTGCTTCCTCACTCCGAGCGATGACTCCCCAGAGCTGGCGGAGATCAGGCGTGTCAACCAGGAGCTGCAGGTCTGTGGCATTTCAGGGCTTTACAGAGATGGAACATGTTTATCAGTGAGAATGAACGGGATACACACTTTAGAAGGTTGTGTTGCTACAAAGGATGAGTCAGAATAGTGAGCTATCACCAGATGTGACCACAAATAATTGTTTTTCTTCAATACTTAACAATATATTATATTCCGCACCATACAGGAGACTGAAATGAATGATTAGGGAAAGAATTGATAATATCTATATAATTTAAAAAAATATATTAAAATAAGTAGATAAAATAAAAGCAGTCTGAAGAACAAGTGCTAAAGTCCATCTTAATTCTTTTTTCTTTAGTTTGTACATGTTTTAGAGAGGGGCAGGCAACATAAGATGTTTTCATTCTTTCTGCTCCTTTTCATTTGTGCGACAAGACTATAATTATTTGAAATGTATTTTAATGTCCGCAATTGAAATGAATAAAGACAGCGAGCACTGTACCCACACACTTGGGCAACAATCATACAGAATGAAGAACAAAACCAAACAGAAAAAGTAAACATCTGAAAACAACATTTTTTACGTGTCAGAACCAGTTTGAGCTCCACATTCATACATACAGTATATAGTTTAACCCTTTAATATTAGCTCCTTGAAGAAAGCAAGATGATTTTATGTTTCTTAGATGTAGGAGCACTAAAAACAAAAATAATTTCATTCAATTTTCTTTTTTTCCTTTTTTTAACCCGCTAGTTTTTCTTTTATTATAAGCCTTTACTAAATGGTTGAGATGCAGCTTCATGGTAAAAGGGCCTAAAACAGAGATGCCCCAATGAGGTAGATTTAAGTTTCAAGCTTCAAGCAGATATAGTGACTTAAAGCTGCACTAACTGACTTTATTTTTGTATTCATTACGAAAATGCTATCCATGTCCATGTAGTGCATTGGGATATACGTCCTTTTGAAGAATAATTAGCGCAGATTTGTGCTGGCGTGACATTATATTTTAGATCGAGTTTTGATGAAACAAGGAAGAGAATGTGTTTCGGGTCGCAGATTGTGACCAATCACAACGGACCACTGGCCCCCACTTTCGTGAGAAATCTACAGGTCCGTTAGCATAGACGGCTGAGTTAGCACAACAAGCCGAGGAGCTAACCTGAAGCTTCGTGTCTTCATCACCGGTTACTGCTTACACAGCAAGACAGCCACCCAAAAGAAAGTCCCATTCCTCCGCGCTTCCCGGTTCTATCGTTTTATGGTCACGCCATCCACGTGCAAATCCATATCCATGTATTATCCATATTGGGAGACACTAGCTCCGTCCCAACAGTGAGTGTGTGTGGGGGGCGATAGCTTCGTGGGTGCGGGGAGGGGAGCAGAAAGAGCGAGGCCAGCGAGTCTGCGGCTTCAAAATCCCAAAGTCAGTTAGTGCAGCTTTAAAAAGTGATTGAGCAAACCATTAAAGGGTTAAAAAATTGTAAAATATTTGATAAGGAGTTTAAATGTATTCCTCCTGGAGCTTTTTGCTTTATAACAAATTTACAAAGACGCCTTTTCCTCAGCTGTGAAACGGAAGGCTCAAATCCAACAGTTCAACAGCTCTACCAGAGTTGATATTTACCAAATCGTTCCTACTTGTAATTTTGAGTCTCGTAAATTAGTCACCAGAGGCCAAAACTACAGGGCTCCAGGTCCACACAGAGTTCAGACACCTCTCCAACAGGTTTTTAATAGAAAATTGGTCTTATATATCAGAGGGCAAGTTGAAATGTGTGTTTTATTCCTCCTGCAGATAGAGACGGAGAAGCTGGTGTACGGCGGTCGCTATGACGGCAGAGAGGACTTTGCCGTTGTCGCTCAGCCTTTCTTCAAAAACTCCATGGTGCCTCTGAACGCTGTAAGATCTGCGTCCGGGCAAACACTGGGACGTGACGAGGTCTCTCTCGCTCTCTCTCTCTCTGACCTTCTCTGGATTTTTGTTTCAGGACGGACGACCCGACACCACATACTTCTCTGAGGACTGCTTCCACTTTAGCGAGCGCGGGCATTCTGGCATGGCCTCCGCTCTGTGGAACAACATGGTGAGGATCAAAAACATCTAACAAGTCTGTCCTGGACAAACTTCTGTAATTTCCAGAATATAAGCCCATACTTTTTTCTTGTTATTTGAACCCTGCGGCTCATACAGCGATGAGGCTAATATGTGTGTGTTTTTATTGTCGTCGAGTTGTCAGAGCAGAGTTTATAGACTTATTATTTTGACTCCATCAAATTTTAAGTGCTATAGGACTATTTTTTTTTTTCATATTTGAGTGGTGCGTCTTATATGCAGGTGCGCCTTATAGTCCAGAAAGTTCTTTATCTTTTTTATTACATTACAATGCATATTCATAACACAAACACGATACAACACATAAAACACAGACAATAATGACGAACAGTTCAAAGGCATTTCCTCAAAAGAAAAAAACTACTTTCTGGACTAAAAGGTGCACCAGAAAGTACTGTGGTCTATGAACTGCAAGGGAATAGGCTAATATAAAGAATTAGTTTAAATGTAAGTAATAACACTGAACTGTTGAAAACGGTAAAAAGATTTTACTACAGTCCTCAATTCAAGTCATTTTTGTATAGCAGCCGTCTCGGAGGACTTTACAAAGCTGTCGATTTCTCAACAACAGATCAGAGAATCAAATACTTTAAACACAAGAAAGATAAAAACAAACACATTGGAGCCATTGGTCCACAAGTGACCAATGCCCATTAATGTTAATAATCTAGCGACATTAGAAATCAGATACAAGGCCTTGATAAACAAACATTAGAAAGATCCCATATTGCCCTTTTTTATATAGCGCATTTCATGGACCAACATTTTTCCTGTCACTCCATCATCTTTCCGTCACACATTCATTACATTCTAACTTTTAGTGGTTGGGGAAACAAGGAGAACCTGGAGGAAACACAGGGAGAACACGCAAACTCCAGAGAGAAATCAAACCCAGGACCTTCTAACTTTGAAGAACAAGCGCTTACTGCCCAGAGCACAGATCTTACCAACAACAAGTAATAGGACTTACATTTGAGCCTGGTTTCTAAAAAAGAAAACCTTAAAGACTTTAAAAAGAGGTGTGAAATAGACCATAAAACATGTGACTAAAGCAAGTAGAAAACAGGACTTGGCCTCAGACCACAAGCCCCAGAGTATCCTGTGCTCTGTACATTCTTTATGTACATTTTTGGTTGACTGTCATTCCAATGGTGCAGTCTGGGAAATACCCTCAGTGCGTCTTTTACACTTTTAAATACCATGTTGTACCTATGTTTATGTTTCAGCTGGAGCCTGTGGGCAAGAAGCAGACATTCAACAATTTCACAAATGCTAGAAATGACATTAAGTGCCCCACTAAGGTGAGACAGTCGATGTGTGTTGCCAGCTCTATTTGCTTTTTAAAATACAATATCCAAATGTATTTATCGACACCCCAAAACCTGCATGCATCATATCAATGATCGTTTAGCCTTTTATAATTGTTGTTAATGGATATGTGTTTATTATTCTGGAAACTGGATAAAAGCCTTGTCCAAGTTAAGTGGATTTATCCAATTGCTTTGTCCTTTGTCCACCTCCATCATGAACAATACCTCCCACCCACTGCACAGGACTGTAGAGGAGCTGAGGAGCTCCTTCAGTGGAAGACTGAGACACCCTCAGTGTTGGAAGGAGCGCTACCGCAGGGCCTTTATCCCCACCGCTGTCAGACTGTACAATAAGTCACTTTAAATGATCACTGTGTGAAAACCTGCACTACTATTGACACTGTTTCCAATTGACACTTGTCACTTTTGTTGTACATAATTATTGTCACTTTATAGTACATATATCCTGCATGTTACATGTTTGCACATTTCCTCCCTTTGCACAATCTGAGTGTCTCTATCCATGCCAAATGTGACATGTAAATTTCTCCTCTGTGAGATAAATAAAGCACATCTTATCTTATCTTTAGCTGATATAAACTCAGCTAAGAGTGGTCTGAGCAGTTTAAGGACAAAAATGTATTTCAGTAGTTTCTAAATGTATTGATCTGTTCCAGGATAATCCATTCATCTTCACCAAAGTGAACAGCTTACCCTCAGAGCCCACCACCACAACCACCACCCCATCTGCCTCCCCTGTGCCCACCTCGCCCTCGCCTCCTCCGCTCCTCCCAGAGTGTGGGAGCAGTGTGCCCGTGTGGCTGTCCCCGGTGCTGGCCGCTGCTGGCCTGCTGATAGGCTGTGCTGTGACATGGCTCCTCCTCTACTGCAGAGACAAAAAGACCAACAATATGAAAACCAACATGGAAATGAAAGGCACGATGTTTTAAAGACTCAAGCATGAACTAAACCCTTGTTTTAGATTACTAGTTGTATTACAAAGTAATATGAGCACTTATGCAGCTATAGCTGGTTTAACAGCTTTGTATTAGTATGATGTCACATGCTTCAAAAGGTGTTTTTCTTTATGTTTAGCATATCACATGCTAACTTAGTTTTGATGCAAATGTATTTCTTACATAATGAAAACAAACAGCCTATTTATATTTTCAATGATAATGGCGTACTTTGTATTGATAAATAATGTAATTTATGTCTGGTATTGTCTGAATAAAATTGGTAAAAATGACATATTGTAATTGTTGCATTATTATGTAAACTATCACACATAATCAAACCTTTTTTCATCCAGTAGTAATGAGATATATTTTTACTTCTACAGCACCATCATATGATGACCATGGATCTAAAAAATAACCATAGACCGTAAATAATAACATCCTAAGGATGAAACCGAAGGATTTAAGGAGAAATGACAAGGGACACTAAAATCCCCACAAAATCCAACCTTTATGAAAGCTGTAGGTTCTCTGTCACCTGAGGTCGAGCTGTTTTAGTTTACATTGAGTTCTATGGGGAAATCATCTGGGTAGCCCGCGTGAATTTAGTCTGCAGTACCGCGAGAATCCACCGAGCGCATGGGTTCTTCAGCTCCAAGCAGTAATACCCTATCCAGTTATTATAATAGATAGGGTATTATCTGTAATAAGCCCGAGTGAGTCGTTAGCAATTAGCATTTAGCCTAGCCCTCTCCTTTACCGCTAAGGGAGCCCGTGGGGAGTAGCGCCACAATTTTTTCCAGCGATTACATTTGCTAAACATTCCACTTAATCTGGCTTCAATTTCTTGATAGAACCAGACCGGATTACTTTACTATCGCATTTTTCGCCATTGCCAAACCACAACCTTCCCGTTCGACGCAAACTCTTGACGTCTACAACTAACTAAAACACTCGCCTTCCGCACTCACTGATTTGTTGGTCGAAATTCAAGCAATTGTAATCGCAAACACAGGGACCAGACCATGGATCTATAATAATAACTGGATAGGGTATTACTAGCTTATAGCTGTCCCACCCATGGGCACAGGGTCGGCACTAGATCATGTACAGAATCGGGACGAAATCGGAAGTAACAATCCTACTTTCTAATTAGTTTTAGACTAAAAAGTCCTTAAGTGGTGACTGTTTAAGTTTTAGGTGTCTGAGTAAGATGGTTAAGGTTAGGGTTAAGGCTGGGCTGGGGTTATTTTATAGGAATGGCTGGTTAAGTTTAGGCATGAATAGGTAGTTTGTTATATTTACTTCCGCTTCCGTATATGATCTAATGCTGACCATGGGCACAGGGGGCGCTGTGGTACTGCAGACTAAATTCAGGTGGGCCACCCCATAGATCTATTATAATAACTGGATAGGGTATTACTAGCTTGGAGCTGAAGAACTCATGTGCTCTGGGGATTCTTGCGATACTGCAGACTAGACCAGAAATTCACATTCACATGAAATTCACATGGGCTACCCAGACATTTTCCCCATAGAACTCAATGTAAATTAAAACAGCGCGACCTCAGCTGACAGAGAACCTACAGCTTTCATAAAGGTCGGCTTTTGTGGGGATTTTAGTGTCCCTTGTCATCCTGAACTTTTTTTTCTTAAAGAAGCTATACCCAATTTTTTTTCTAAGTAATTGATAAAAATGCTTATTACTACATACACGTTGTATTATAATCTGTAATTTAATTGAAAATTTGAGGTAATTGATTCAGCTGTGTAAGATTTACAAGCAGTTAAAGAAGCTATACCCGATTTTTTTTCTAAGTAGTTCATAAAAATGCTTTTTACTACATACAAGTTGTATCATAATACATCATTTAATTGAAAACTTGAGGTAATTGATTCAGCTGTGTAAGGCAAGGCAAGGCAAGGCAAGTTTATTTATATAGCACAATTCATACACAAGGCAATTCAAAGTGCTGAACAAAACAAGAAAGCATTAAAATCATAAATTATCACAGAACATTAAAAAGAAAAGATAGAAATATAAAATCCCTCAGTTGTATGCACAGTTAAACAGAACTGTCTTTAACCTGGTTTTAAACATTGTCAGAGAGGAGGCCTGTCTCACATCTTCAGGAAGACTGTTCCAGATTTTAGCAGCATGAATCTGAAAAGCAGCCTCCCCATGTTTAGTTCTGACTCTGGGCACTAACAGGAGTCCAGTCCCTGTGCTCCTCAGAGTCCGGGCTGGTTCATATGGGACTAACATGTCACTAATATATTTTGGTGCGAGGCTATGGAGAGACTTGTACACAAGCAGAGCTGTTTTAAAGTCTATTCTCTGAGCCACAGGAAGCCAGTGCAGAGACCTGAGGACTGGACTAATGTGGTCGTACTTCCTGGTTCTAGTCAGGACTCGAGCTGCTGCATTTTGAATGTACTGCAGCTGTTTTACAGCCTGTTTGGACAGACCTGTGAGCAGGCCATTGCAGTAGTCTAACCTACTGGAGACAAATGCATGGATAAGAATCTCCAGGTCTGCTTTAGACACTATGTTTTTGATCCTGGCAATGTTTTTTAGATGGTAAAAAGCTGCTGATGTTACTGATTTGATGTGGCTATTAAAATTTAAGTCTGAGTCCAGTATTACCCCTAGATTTCTGACCTTGTTTGAAGGTTTTAGGGAGAGAGACTGTAGGTGACAGATGACGCTCTCTCTTTGTTTCTGGGGACCAAAGACAATCATTTCAGTTTTGTCTGCGTTTAGCTGAAGGAAGTTGTTTTGCATCCACTCACTGATCTGTTGGATACAGTGAAGGAGTGAGTCCACTGGTCCATGTTCTCCTGCAGTCAGTGAGACATAGATCTGAGTGTCGTCTGCATAGTTATGATAGGAAACTTCGTTTCTGCGTATTAACTGACCTAACGGCAGCATGTAGAGATTGAACAGAAGAGGTCCCAGGATCGACCCCTGTGGGACTCCACAGGTCAGGGCCATATGATCTGAGACACAGTTTCCAATCTCCACAAAGTACTTCCTGTCTTCAAGGTAAGACCTAAACCAACTTAGGGCGGTGCCAGCGACTCCAACCCAGTCCTCTAGTCTCTGTAAGAGGATCTCATGGTCAGCACTCAGATCTAACAAGATTAAGATTGAGACTTTGCCTGCGTCAGTGTTCAGCCGGATATCGTTTGTAACCTTAACGAGAGCAGTCTCAGTGCTGTGGTGGGGTCTAAAGCCGGACTGAAACATATCAAATGAGTTGTTGATTATAAGAAATCTAGTAAGCTGTAGGTAGACAACTTTCTCAAGGACTTTCCCCATAAATGGCAGATTTGAGATGGGACGATAGTTGTTTAGTACCGTAGCATCGAGACTGCTCTTTTTTAGCAGGGGCCTGATGACTGCAGTTTTCAGGGCCTTTGGGAATATTCCAGAATGAAGGGACACGTTTACTATCTGTGTGAGTGAATGTAACAGACTGCTCAGAACAGACTTTAGAAATCTAGTGGGTAGTACATCCAAGCTGCATGTGGAGGAGCTCAAACTGGAGATTATCTCTTGGACAGTTTTATCATTTACAGGTGCAAAGTGAGTTAGCTCAGAGAGCCTTTCTGGCTGTTGGATGGTTATCTGTGGATTGGAGACAATGGCGTTTTTGATGCCTTGAACCTTGTCATTGAAAAAATGAGCAAACTCATTGCATTTACGTTTGGAAGTAAGCTCTAATGGCATTTGAACAGGGGGGTTTGTTAATCTATTAACTGTTGAGAACAGAACACGCAGATTGTTGCTGCAGCCTTCAATCATTTCAGAAAAATACCTTTCTCTCGTACTACGTAGCACCCGGTTAAACTCGCACAACTTATCCTTGAATATCTCGTAATCAACCTGGAGGTTGGACTTGCGCCACTTCCGCTCGGCCCTCCGGCACTTTCTCTTTTGTGCCCTGACCGAGTCTGCTTTAGCCCACGGCGCCTTCTGCTTATTTTTCACTATTTTAACCTTCACAGGGGCAACGGTATCCAGAACATTCAAAACACTAGAGGTGACAGAGTTAAACAGTTCATCTACAGTAGAATACGATGCATTCTCAAAGTTTATCATTCCCATAAATAGTTCACTCGTATTTTCATTTATGCGCCTTCTTCGAACAGTTGCAGAGTCCACTGGTGGTTTGTTAGTGAAACACATGTCAAAAAAAAACACAGAAATGATCCGAAAGAGCAACATCGACCACGTTTACATTTGAAATATTCACCCCCTTTGTAACTAACAGATCTAGAGTGTGCCCTTTGCTGTGGGTGGGGCCACTTACGTGCTGAGTGAGATCAAAGGATTCAAGTACAGAACTCAGCTCATTTGCATTTCTGTCATCAACATTATCCACATGAATATTAAAATCACCTGTAATAACAATGCCATGAAACAACAACGTTTCATGGTAACTTCCGGGTTTTTAGCAATCGCTTTTTGTCACATTGAAACAGTATTTTTGTCATGAAAACGTTAACAGCAAATTCTGAAATCATCCGTGCATGTGTGTTAAGGATGTATATGTATACTGTATTGTCCGATTGACGTTTAATGGTGTTGATTGATAGATATGTAGTTGTTTATTGAGCGTGGCTAGCTCCGCTAGCTCCGTTGGCTTCTCTACACAGACGAGTGTGTAGTGACAGGTGCTGATAGCTTGTTGTAAGCTACTTGCAGAGTAATGGCAGTATTTTACACACCTGAATTACAAACAGAGGTTGCATTGGGGCTTCGGTCATTATTGGTTTGAGAGTTCTGTTATCAAGAAAAAATGATCGGAAGAATTGCTGCTGCTGCTTTGAGGAGCTCTATAACAAATCAAAATTTAATATTATAATATATTCTAAGGTTTTAAATTAATACATTCGGACACAAAACTAGCGGTATTCTTTTACTTATATATTGTGTTAGCAGTGCGTTGCTTTAGTGCCATTTCATCAGTGATTGTTGCACAGCT